TTCATCATTTACACTTACCAAATGTACCCAACTTCAAGAAAAACTATCAATTACCTTTTAAACATGTATGAGACCAGCAAGACAAATTCTACAATCACTTCAGGGATGATATTTCCAAGTTCAGATTTAATAATATCACTTGCCAATTATACTACACATTAAGAAAACAAATCACACACCTTTTGAATATGTACGAAGCCAGCAAAACGAATCCAACAATCACCATATCTAGCACATCAAAATGGCATATCTCAAACTAGGGGTGAGCGGTTTCAGGTTCCTTACAGGTTCCACCGGGAACCTGGAACCTACCATCGGGTACATATTCTTCATTTTTTGAAACCTGAGACCTACTTATCGGAACCTAGAACCTAGAACCTACCATGTCAAAGGTTTCAAGGTAGGTTCCAAGGTCCAACGGGTTCTTTTTTTAATTTCATTTTTAGTTAAACAAAAATAAAATGAATGCAACAATAATGAACAAGCTTGTCATTCACCAAAGAGAATACAAAAAACTAGTTTTCCTGACATTATGGTTCAAATAAATACAATTAAAATGAGAAGTCATTGCGTGAATCAATACTAGGGGTGAACGATTCTATGTTCGGTACAGATTCCACCTAGAACCTACCCATGAGAATAGGTCGTTCATTTTTGGAACCTGAAACCTACTCTATCAGGTTCCAAGTTGATTATAGGATCTACTTAAGTTCCACCTGTATTATTAATTGAATAATTGCAGTGAATTATTATCTTTAATGATCACTACTTGCTGCTATGATTCACTGACCATAACTTATATTTAGACACACAAAGAATATGAAATATTAACGAGTCATAAAATGAAAACTCAGACGAGTGGTTCTAGATTATATACTCATCATCTAACGTCATGAAACACCGTAGGATCACGCAAAGACATAAACCAAGAAAAAACACAAAAAAAAAACTTGTTAGATTTCAGGTTCCAGGTTCTACTTATCTAGAATCTAGAACCTACTCGGCGAAATAGGTTCCTCAATTTTTGGAACTTAAAACCTACCTTGCATACCTTAGAACCTGGAATCTACAGGTTCCCACTGGTCAGGTTCTCATATTCCAGGTTCTACCTTGGAACCATGCTCACCCATATCTCAAACAACCAAGTTAAAAGTGTCAAGTAGATTAAACTAACTTAACTCTAGAGTCTTCACTCACCTCCAATCGCAACTAAGGGTGCGTTTGATTCGCGGAAAACTTAATAATAAAGGAAAATTTTTTCGAAAAATCATTTTCCAAGAAAATGCTTAATTTTTCTTTGTTTGGTGATACAAGATGGAAATTATTTTCTGATGTTTGAATATCATTGGAAAATGATTTCAATCTCATGACTTTATTTCAAGCAAAAAAAATAGAATTTTTTAATATTTTTTGTTTTTTTTTAAATCGATTTTTATTTTTATTTTTTTAGTTTCTTTTTTTGAAAAAATTGAAATTTTTTATTATTTTTAAATTTTAATTTTTCTCTTTTCCTTTTCTTTTTCCTTCGCTCGGACCGGCCGGCGACGGCCACCGGCGAGCTCGAGGCTCGCCTGGCGATGGCCACTTGTGAGCTCGAGCTCGTCAGCCTCGCCTGGATCTGGCAAGCCTCGAGCTCGCCAGCCTTAATCTAGCCTAGGCTTGCCTGGATCTGGCTTGCTACGAGCTCACTTGGATTTGGCGAGCCGCGAGCTTTCCGGCCTCGGCCGAGCTTGGGCTCACCTAGATCCAACGAGCCGCGAGCTCACCGACCTTGGCGGAGCTTGGGCTCGCTTGGATCGGCCGAGCCTCAAGCTCGCCGGCCTTGGGCAAGCTCGAGGCTCGCCGCTAGAGGCCGCCACGAGCTCGTTGGCCATCGCTGTGGTCGACAACCAGCCTGATGTAGAAGAAAAAGGAAGAAAAGAAAAAAAAAAGAAAGAAAAAACAAAAGAAAAGAATAAATAATTCGATTTTTTAAAAAATAATAAAAATTGTTTTTAAAAAAAATAAAAAAATCAATATTTTTAATTAAATATTTTTATAAGAACAAACGTTTCATTAATTAAGGACTCGAGCTTGAGCGCCGAAGACATACGCACGAACTTTGTGGACTTGAGTCGGAGGCTCGAGACTAGAGCTCGAGCATCTAGGATCTAAGCACAACCTTTATGGATTCGAGTTCGGGTGCCGAAGCATCGGGTACGGGCTCAGCCTCAATGGACCTGGGCATGGGCGTCGAGGGCCTGGGCCCTGGACATCGAGGTCTCGAGCCCGGCCACCGGGACTTGGTCCTGAATGTCGGTACCCGGGAACTAACATTGGGGTTTTCGTGCTCAAGTGTAGAGTTTCGGGTTAAAGCGTCGATAGCAGTCATACTTTGGAAAACGTTTTTTGATTCTTTCAAAGGGGAAATTATTTTCCCGAATTTAACCTTTAGTAGGAAAATAGTTTTCGTTGATCAGGAAAACATTTTCCATTAACTCATTTTCCTAAGCAAACCAAACGCTAGAAAATGAGAAAAGTGTTTTCCCGGAAAATGCTTCCCACGAAACAAACGGACCCTAAGGGTGCATTTGTTTCTCTGAAAACTCAATAATAAAGGAAAATGATTTTTCGGAAAGCATTTTCCAAAAAAACGGTTAGTTTTCCTTCGTTTGGTAATATGTGATCGAAATCGTTTTCTGACGTTTGGATTTTATTGGAAAATGATTTCAATCTCATGACTTGATTCAGGAAAAAAAAACGAATTTTATAATTATTTTATTTTAAAAAAAATAGAATTTTTAATTATTTTTCATTTCTTTTTTTATTTTTTATTTAAAAAATCGAATTTTTAATTCTTTTTTTCTTTTCTTTCCTTTTCTTTCTCCTCCTTCCTCTGCCGCGACCGGCCGGCGACACCCCGGCGACAACCCCAGGCGAGCTCGAGCTCACCAGCCTCGAGTGAGCCAGAATCTGGGGAGCTGCGAGCTCGCTAGGATTGGCCATGCTCGAGCTTGCCTGGATATGGCAAGCCTCGAGCTCACCGGACTCGGGCGAGGTGGAGGCGGCGAGGTCGGGCCTCGCACGATGCCGGTGAACTCGAGCTCGCCGGGATTGGGCGAGCTTGGCCTCGCCTGAGGCCGGCCGTCGCCGACCTGCACTTGTGGCCAACGACTGGTGGAGGGAGGAAGAAGGAAAAAGAAAAAAAGAAAAGAAAAAGAAAAGAAAGAAAAGAGAAGGAAAAAAAAAGAAAAATAAAATATTAACAAATTTAAGATAATCAATTCCGGAAAGTGTTTTCACCTTCTTAAAGTAGGGAATTCACTTTTCTAAATTTATACATTAATGGTTTCCTTGACCGGAAAGTGTTTTCAGTTGACCAAATCATTTTTGGACAACCAAACGGATGAAGTCCGGAAAACACTTTCTCGAAAAACAATTTTACCAAAACAAACGCACCCTAAATATTGAATTTCCTCTTGAAAAATGAAGCCTTTCCTTTCCTTCTAAGGATTTCAGAAGTAGCGAAGCATTTCCCCTTGAAGTGTTTTTGGTAAAAAGGTTTATTCTTTGATAAGGATTATACTTCTCCACTTAGAACCAATGTGCCAACTCTTAGAGAACACAAGTGTAAGCTTGCATGTAGAAGGAAAGCTACGTGTGATAAGCTCACAAAACTTTCATTTTTTATTATCATGTGTTGTCCAAATAGAACATAAGAGTAGATTAACTAATAGTAGATGTAAAATGCCTACCCTATAAGTATAAGTGTCATCACCTTAAGAAGACATCTAACCATTCATGCAAGAGAAGTAGAGGATATGTGGCCTCTCGTGCAAAATTCCTTTTCTTCAAGGGACAAGTAGCCTAAGTGTCTTCACCTTAAGAAGACAGCTTAACTATTCATGCAAAAGTAAAAGAGAACATGTGGTCTCTCATGGAAAGTTTCTTTCTTCAAGAGACAAGTGGCTTCTTAGGTGTCTACAAATGATGAAGACATTTAGTGAGAAAGAGTCTATCTCCCTTCGGCCAAGTGGGTGAGCTTAATGTAAGTAAATTATTATTTGGTTAACTAGGATTACAATAAATAATGTTATCCATGACACTTGATTTAACCAAAATTATTTGTAAATCATACCGAATGCTGAAAATAATGTCTCGGTTTAGTAAACTTGATAATCATATAATTTCGAAAATATCCGTCCACATCAATTAACATCACTCTAATAATCATCGTACAGATTATCGTTTATCAATTGAATTTCAATGCCTTGGACTTGGAACGATTACGTTCATGGAAAATCATCCTCCGCGTTCTCTGTACTTAATGGTCCACTAGGATTTTTACGTGTCAACCCCAATTATTAGCTAAATAATATTTAGCTTTATAACCTAAGCATTATTATTGAACACCGAAAATTTCTAGTGTTACCAAATATTATTATGAAAATTCGGGATGTCACACATCGGAGTTCCCTTGCCTAAGCATCAAGGTCTATGGTCCAAGTATCATTGTCTAGTCATATTATGGAAAATAATTTTTGATTTTTTAAAAAGATATAATTTTCCTAAATTTGAGCATATGTTCTCCATTAATTATGAAAAAAATTTCAGTTGACTCATTATTGTAAAGCGATCAAAATGCCGAAAAATGTGGGTTATATTTTTTCGATAAAAAATTTTCTGCAAAACAAATGGAGCCACTATTTATTTAAATTATATTGTAGCTGTGTAAGTTTGTTCTCATGAATGTCCCTTGTTTCCACTACATAATAACCTCAGTTCAATTTTCATTGATCTCATTAAAATACTTTTTCAGATACATAATAGTGGTCGATAGGATGACTCTGTGAGGTCAAAAAAATTATACATCAAATTACAAAGAGGATATCTAAATTGGATTTGCAAAGTAATGTAAGTAAATTTATTCTGCGAATCCGTCTTTTCTTACGTGGCATTAACACTCAACCTAAACAAAGGATAAATAAAACACCTTAAGTAAGACCGTACAATATCGCCATTTAGCACAAAATACAAGAGCCGCTTGTTTTCTCTTTCCTCTCTTCCTCATCCAATGTATCACAAAGATTCCCACCTCTTGTCTCCGGCAAGCACAAGACAAACAGCCCACAGCACCCAATGACCAGCCCAAAAACCCCATAAGACAGCACCACATCCCCTCTCCGGCCCGCGGCCGCCACCAATGACGGGCTGAACACGCCGCCAAACACCACCGCCTGCCGCACCATCGCTATCGCCGAGTTCCTTACGCACGTCGGGAACAACTCTAATGTGTATATCAATGACACATCAAGCGCGGTGCATCCACTAAAGAAAGAGACTAGCTCCAAGCCAATTTGCCACTGTTGCCACACTTGGCCCTGCAAAATGCACATCACACTACAACACCCACTGAGTGTTGTGAAGAATAGTACAGAACTCCTCCTATTAAGCTTCCCTATAAGGAGGATAGTGACCAGGGTCGATGGCAGTTCGGCAAGGGCGTTGAGCGTGACGCTGGAGTAGAGGTCGAAGTCCAAGTTCGTGACCCCAAGCGGCATCCCGTAATACACCATCCCCGTCCCGAAACCGACCAACATGACTGCACATAGCCGGCGAAAGGCCCATTTCTTCTCCAACAAGGCCCTGATTGCCGAGAAGACGTCCATGTTGTTCAAAGGGTCCTCGTCAAGCGAAATCGAGGAGAAGCCCTCGGTGAGGGCGCTCGCACTCGGCGGTGCGAGGCCCTTTAGGGTTTCCACGGCCTCTTCCCTGCGTCCCATCACGAAGAGCCATCTTGGTGACTCGCAAACCAAGAAATGGACTAAGGCACAGTAGCCAATGGCTGGGACCGACGTCCAAATGTACAGAGCTCTCCATGACGAACCTCGGTTCACGTAGGCGATTGCCGGCAATGATAAGAACCCTAATGTGAAACTGAAGAATCCCATCATCCCGACACTCCCTCGCCACTTCTTGCCCACTCGCTCCGATGTTAGCACAAGAGCACATGTGCCGATTGTCGCACGCCCAAATCCTGTAACGAATCTCAAGCCAGAATAGATCCACACGTTGGTGGAGAAGACCGTAAGTAGGGATGAGCAAGACATGACAAAACATGAGAGGAAGAGCATGTTTTTGCGGCCGAGGGACGAGTCGGCGAGTGTCACCAAAAGCAAACCGCCAATCAAGCATCCCATGAAGAAGGATGAAGCCGGTAAGCCCCTTATTGCCGAGTTTGCGCATTGAAGGCCCCACTCAGATACTGTAAAGGCGTGCTTGGGATAATCCCATTGCCATGAGGAACTGTTCGGAAGTTGACAAACGTCAGACATGGAGTTGCAATACTTGTCGTCGAGATTCGCGCAATGCCATGGCGGTTGAACATCGGTGAAAATATTGAGGAACGTTTGCTGCGCGTCAAAGAACCCAGCAAGCGACACGAGAGAGGCTTGCATGAGCTGTGCCCGCCCGAAATCTTTCATTGACTGCTCGATCATCAAGTCCAACGATGGGTGGTTCTTCTCGAGCTCCGAAGGTTCGTGCTCGTCGCTGCCGGTGGTGGATTGTGAGAGCAACGGAGTGGGATCGGCCATTCTTTTATGTGCTTTGCTTTGTTGGATTTGGAATTTCTTTCGTACAGTGGAAAAAGAGAGTAATGTAGCTGATTTTAGAGATGAGTGTGACATAGCAGAATGTGTACGATTTATATTGAGTTGATTATAGTGAATGATGAACGGTTCAACTGGGTAATAAATATTCGACCAAAAAAAAAAACTCGGTAATAAATAACTCCTGGGAAGGTTGCAAATTGAGTTGGACTTTTTATCTTTTAATTCCAAGTTGTTGGAGAGCGCCTAGGTGGATACTAATCAGTAGGGGTGATCGGTTCTCGGTCCGGTCCGGTTCCAAGGTGAAACCGAGAACCGGTTCCCAATTTTGGGAACCGTGGACCGGGCCGGTTGGTTCTAGGACCGAGAACCGGACGGGACCGCCGGTCCGGTCCGGTCCAATGGAACCGGTCACTTAGAGTTTAGTTTTTTTTTTTTTGGTTAAACACTTAAGGTTTGGTTCACATTTTACTAATTTTTGTTAATGAATTTCTGTCAATGAAGTTCACTTAGGGTTTAATTCACATTTTACTAATTTTTATCAATGAATTTATGATAATGAAGTTCACTTAGAGTTTAGTTCACATTTATTAATTTTTTTTTAAAAAAATAAAAATATATATTAAATTGTCGGTCCGGTACGGTCCGGTTCCCCCTTGGAATCGGGAATCGGACCGCCCGGAAACCGGTTCCGCTTTTAGGAACCGGGAACCGGACCGATAGTCCCGAGAACCGGACCAAACCCATCGGTCCGGTCCGGTCCCGGTTTGGGCGGTCCAAGTTGCTCACCCCTATTAATCAGGTAGAAAATGCCAGGTGAACAGTTTTGAAGTAGTCCAATTCTCAGCCTAGAACCGACCAGTGGCTCCTGGTTCCAAAATTTTGGAATCGTACCTTACCGGCCGGCTCCAATCGAGTTCCTGGTTTTACCCAGACTCCCATCCAATGGCTGTTCTTCCGTCATTATCATCTCTCTCTCCTTTTGACCTTATCTCTCTCTCTCTCTCTCTCCACCTCTCTCATCATTTTTCAAATGTTACCCAGGAGAAAATAGGCCTAATTCCAAAAAAAACCCTCAACTTTACACTTTGTCCCAATTATATCGTGAATTTTTTTTTTTGTCTCAAGAAAAACCTCAAAGTTTTATCCGAGTCCCAAATCTCGCCCTCCCGTTATAAATCCGTCCAATTAACGTCAAAAAAAAAAAAAAAAAGAGGACCTACGCACGGCCTATGGCAATGCAGCCAAGCCCTGCCGGCGGTCACAGCTGCTCGCAGCCGCTCCCAAGCCTCGGGACCGGAGAGCGCGAGGCTGCGAGTCGCCGAGGCGGAGTGCGCGCCCTCCGACGGGCGAGGTCGCGCCTCCCCGGACGAGGGTCGCGCCTCGCCGCCGACGATCGCCAGGCGAGGCGCGGGTCGCCGAGGCGCGGCCGCGAAGACCCGGACACCGGCAAAGGAAAACTCCACCCAATCAACGTAAGAGGAAACCGAAACGGGAAGAAACCCGAATCGCGATCGAGAAAGATGAACGTAACAAAGACCCAAAACCGGAGCGGGAACAATGCCGTAACAACGCGGGGAAACGACCCGGATAGAGAACCGCGAGCGCAAGAGCAAAAGAGGGCATACCCATCGAGCATAGCAAAACGGAGGCGACCCGTGGGAAGGAGGAGGGATCGAGGGGCAGAGGGACGCCGGCGAGCCCCGCCGCCGCGATGGCGGAGAGAGGGGGCCAATTGGCCGCAAAAGACAACTGGGTGATCTCCATTTCCGCGAATCCCCGCTTCAAATCACATGCACGGAGCAGAGGGGAGGTCCCCAGATCAAGCTCGAAGCAGCTCAGAGGGGAAGGAAGGAAGGGTCTGCGTGTCGCTGGCGACCCTCGCCGGCCCCGGGCGAGTCGCCGGTGAGGGCGTGCAACCCCCGATCTGGGGGAGGGCGCGACCCTCGCCCAGATCGGGGGCAGCCCTCGCCGCTTCGCCTCGCCGGCCTTCTGGAAGACCCGGGCGAGGGCCGCAGCTCCTTCCGGCGGGCCGTGGCGCGGCCACTTAGGCGAGGCTTGGCCACGCCATGCTCTCTCAGTTCTCTCTTTTTTTTTTTTTTTGATCGACGTTAATTGGACGGATTTATAACAAGAGGGCAGATTTGGGACTCGGATAAAAGTTTGAGGTTTTTCTTGAGATAAAAAAAAGTTCATGATATAATTGGGACAAAGTGTAAAGTTCAGGGTTTTTTTTTGAATTAGGCCGGGAGTAATATGATATTAATACACTACAATCCAATCTCCCTCGAGTTAGATGATTCCGATAATCGGCTGAATTATGTCGGGCTTTGGTTTGCAGATTTAAGAACAATATTGGTGGATTAGTATGTGTGTGATTTAATTTTCCGACTTAAAAAAATACGTACCCCAGAGTTGTGAGTTGAATTTAAATGGCACAGATCCACGTCAAGCTGACTAAGTGTTGATGAAACAAAGGGCAACAGTTCGTGTGAACCGAGACGATGAATATAGTACGATAACATGTGGACGAAACCTCGTGCAACCTTCAACTCGACGTGATAAACATCATGCAATATCCTTTGCCTGTGTTTCTTTATGCATGTCCCTTTCGTACTCATGCGATTGGTTGACCAAAAGAGGGACCATAGTTATCCACGTGGAGACAGAATTAGATAATCATGACACGAGATGACAGCTTAGTCTAGGAATCACATGGAGACAATATTAGATAACCATGACAACAGATGACAGCTTAGTCTAGATTCCTAGATTGGACAAAACCTTGTGCTTGTTTTCGGTCTCATCCGCTGTCGAAATATCATTTGTTTCTTTTCCTTTGTTCCTTTTCTTCCTAAGATTGGATGTCCGCCATTAAACGGAGATTTGCCTGTTTATCGATCTCATCATCACTAGGTTTGTATTCTGTGTCACTACAAGTTTCTACCTTTAAAGCCTTCCTCTTTTTCTCGAAATTTTTCTTCGATTTTTTGAATAAGTGATATTTGGATTTGATGTGTCCATGTTTCCTGCGCTCAAAGCATATTACATCCTTCCTTTATTGTCCTCTTTGCTCTTGGAGAGCTTCCCTTCTTTGGATTCTTTTGTTTGCTTCTTGCCCTTGAAGTTTCTTCTTTTCCTCACAAGTTGTTTTCAACTCTTGGTTCATAAGGCCATCTCCTCATTGTCATCAACTTCATATGATGATATTGAATCATCTGCATCATAAGCGTCAGACTTAAATGCAATGGACTCTTTCCCTTTTTGGTCACCTTCATCGTGTCGTTCAGCTTTATAAGCCATTAAGATTCCTTTTTGGTCTTCACATGATTCCATTTCTTTGAAAGTGCTCTTAGGATCTTGTTCACGTTTTCACCCTTGGTATATGTCTTTCCTTGATTGGCAAGACCATTTAAAATCTCCGTATACCTAGTATTTATTTCCGTGATAGTTTCGTCATACTTCATCTTGAAGGTTTCATACTTTCCCAGAAGTATGTTCATCTTTGTTCCTTAACTCTATCGTTTGCTTAGAAAGTCACTTGAAGTCCGTCCCAAATTTCTTTGGTTGTACCACACGTAGAGATAAGATTAAATTCAAAAGGAGATACAGCACGGTACAAAGAATATAAAGCTTGTCTTCTCGAAAATTCTTTTAGTGTGATCGTTGATGTTGGGGTTGTTTGAGCTGTTTTTTCTAGGGATATGTGCACTAAAAGTCCTAAAAATTGTCATAAAAGTGCAATTGAGTTCTAAAATTTGCAAAAAGTGCAATTAAACCCTAAAACTTGTCAAATTGGTGAGACCGAGTCCTTTTGTTAACTCCGTCCAATAGAGCTAATAGAAAATATTGAAATGGCTTTTTTTAATATCTTATCTCTCCTACAAGGTGACGACATGGCTAAAACACGAAATATAAGGCTAAAACAACATTACATCGTTGTGGTCCAAATCTGATTTTTAATACAAATTTTATTTAAATTAAAAAATGAGCTTATTTAGAGAGAGAGAGAGAGAGAGAGAGAGAGAGAGAGAGAGAGAGAGAGAGAGAGAGAGAGAGAGAGAGAGAGAGAGAATTTAAAACTAGGCGACAAGGGCCCTCACGGCCATTGCCCCACCATCGTCGGGCCTAACCATTCCCCCACCACTGCTGGCCCTTCCCGACGATTGTCTTCTTCTTCTTAAAAAAAATTAGCTTATTTTATAATATAATTTAAATAATATTTGTATCAAAAATCAAAATTTGACTAAAACGACATCATTTTGACCATGTCATCGCCACATGCGATTGAGAAAATAATAATAATAAGAAAGCAACTCATCATTTTTCATCAACCAAGTTGGACAGAGTTAATGGAAGGACTCGATTGCACCAATATAACAAGTTTTTGGAATAGATTGCACTTTTTGCAAGTTTTATGACTCAATTGCACTTTCGTGATAAGTTTTAGAACTTCCGATGAACATATCCTTTTTTTTTTATATTTGTGGACTACTTAGTGCCAGAGGGTGTTGTTGAAGCTATTCTCAGAAGACAAGAAGTCATTCAAGACTGAAGAAGAAAGAAAAGATAAGAATATTGTTTGTTATGAACGCAAAAAACCAAGACACATAAAGCCAGATTGTTCACTTATCAAGAAAAGGAAAGGCAAGTTCAAAAAGATGAAATGTGCACTGAAAGCATAAACATGGAGTGATACCGTCCGCAAATCAAGTGACGATGATGAAGCAAATCTCTATTTTATGGCCAACTCGAAAGTGAAGAAGAATTGAGGTAATCATGAAGAGAAACAACTCGCGACACATAACTGGAGATGGTACCAAATTTGAAAGCCTCACACAAGTCGACGGAGATACTGTCGCATTCAGTGGAAGAGAAAAAGGAAAAATAGTTGTTATTGCAAAATATTGGGTTAGGAAATCTGATCATTGAAGATGTCTCTCTCGTCAAAGGATTAAATCATAATTTGGTAAGTATCAGTCAGTTGTGTGATAAAGGATACAAGATTAGCTTTGAAGAAGGAAAGTGTACTGGAATGAGCAAAGACAAGTCTCGGCTGTTTACTGGAAAGAGACATGGGTATATATATATCTATTTGATGTCAATCTTGATGATGTTCAATGCTTAATGTCAATCAAAGAAGAAAGAGATCTATGGCACAAAAAATTGGGACATGTGAATATGAAACAGATTTCTAAGATATCATTAAAGGATTTTGTTCGAGGTTTACCTAAGATCAAATACAAGAAATCAAATTCTTGCGATGCATGCCCCTTGAGAAAACAAGAAATTCATTAAAGTCTATAAACAATGTTACTACTAACCGATCTCTACAATTGTTGCACATGGACTTATTTGAACCAATAAGAACTATGACTCTCGGAGGAAAAAGATGCTCTCTGGTTAATGTTGATGATTACAAGGTTCACATGGGTAACATTCCTTGTTCACAAAAACGATGCATTCCAATCTTTTTGAAATTTGCAAGTAAAGTCCAAAACGAGAAGGGATACAGAATCACGTCAATAAGAACATATCACGAAGAAGAATTCGAGAATTTAAGCTTCTCAATATTGTGATGAAAATGGTCTGGATCACAATTTCTCTATTCCTTACAATCCACAACAAAATGATGTAGCAGAACGAAGAAATCAATTGCTCCAAAAAATGGCAAGGACCATCATGATAGAAGTTGCATTTTTACATTTTTCTGGGCTGTCGTGGACATAGCGGCCACGCAATGGCCTCGCCCAGATTTGGACAAGGGCTGCATGACCCTCACCTGCAGCTAGCAAGGACGTACTGGTCCTCGTCCGCAGCCAGCGAAGGCTGAGTGACTCTTGCCAGCCACAGTAAGGAAAAACTAAAGAAGGAAAAGAGAAAGAAAAAAATATAAAATAATAATAATAATAATAAGTTCGAAAAAAATACTATTCAAAACATCTACGTTAGCACCAACTATGCCACGTAGGAAGTCTGGCGTTCACATCAACGAGTTCCTACCAAAATTGGCTAGATAGAATTAATTGGCAAAGCGTGAAAAGATTTAAGACTCAATTGGCAAAATTAAAATGTTTAGGACTCAATTGGCAAAAGTGCAATAAGTGGGACTTTTTGGACAATTTTCCTTATAAAGCTTAACATAAAAAGTGTTGTGTGTGTGTATATATGTACTTGAGTCTTGTTAAAGCATGCTCATAAGGCATTTGTTAAGCATGCTAATTAAGAAATGAATCACTTTGTCAAAATAATAGTTAGTAATAATTTCAAATAATGGCCCAAAGTGAAGCCGTTCTCATCAAAGAAGGTCTAAAGTGGACTTGTCTCAAATTCCACTTTAATTTTGTGAATAAAGTTCACGGAGAGAGCATGGTGGAGACAACGTCGAAGAATTCAGATGGAACCTTCAAACTTTCAACTGCTCAAACTCAAGTCAACTTTCCTTGTATATTTCCAGTCAAATTCAAGATTCTGTCTCATTATTTTTTTTTTCAATTGGACCTGATTTGATATTTGTATTCAAATATCCTTTCATTTATCTCCCTTTTGGCATGATTTTGTTGTCTTTAGGGTCCTTAAGATTTCAACATCTAAGCAAGTGTCCATTTTACCTCCATGTAACATATCTTTTGTCTCATTCCAAGGCATCAAAAGACTGAGTTTTTCTCTTGCTTTGTAGCTGTGCAAGTCTGTTCTCGTGAATGTCCCTTGCTTGCACTGCATATTAACCTCAGTTCAATTTTCAATAATCTCATTGAAGTATTCTTTTCACATATATATGACCCGAGGTAAAGCAACTCGAAAAGAAGAAAATAATGCTAGGAATACTGAGACCATATCTAAATTGAATTTGAAAAGTGATGTAAGTAAATAAATTCTGCGAATCCATCTTTTCTTTTGTAGCATGAACATTCAACCTAAACAAAGGATAAATAAAACACCATAAATAAGACCCCAACAAAGATCTCTTTTACGGGCACAACCATACGATAGAATTGGCACTCCCACCAATGACGTTTTACATTATCGCTGTTTAGCACAAAACACGAGAGTCCCTCTTGTTGTCTTTCCTCTCTTCCTCATCCATCGTATCACAAAGATTCCCACCTCTTGTCTCCGGCAAGCACATGACAAACAGCCCACAACACCCAATTACCAGGCCAAAAACCCCATAAGACACCACCCTGTTACCTGTCCGGCCGGCCGCCGCCACCAGCAACGGACTGAACACGCCGCCAAACACCACTGCCTGCCGCACCATCGACATCGCCGAGTTCCGCACGCACGTCGGGAACAACTCTAATGTGTATATCAACAACACATCGAGCGCCGTGCATCCACTAAAGAAAGAGACTAGCTCCAAGCCAATTTGCAGCTTTTGCCACACTTGGCCCTCCAAAATGCACATCACACTACAAAACCCACTAAGTGTTGTGAAGAATAGTAGTAAACTCCTCCTATTGAGCTTCCCTATAAGGAGGAAAGTGACCAGGGTCGATGGCAGTTCCGCGAGGGCGTTAAGCGTGACGCTCGAGTAGATGTCGAAGTCCAAGTTCCCGACCCCAAGCGGCATCCCGTAATACACCATCCCCATCCCGAACCCAACCAACATGACTGCACATAGCCGGCGAAAGGCCCATCTCTTCTCCCATAAGACCTTGATTGCCGAGAAGATGTCCATGTTGTTAAAAGGGTCCTCCTCGAGCGAGATCGAGGAGAAGCCCTTGGTGAGGGTGCTCACGCCCGGTTGTGCTATGCTCTTTAGGGTTTCCACAGCTTCTTCCCTGCGTCCAGTCACGTAGAGCCATCTCGGTGACTCGCAAACCAAGAAATGGACTAAGACGCAGTAGCCAATGGCCGGGACTGACGTCCAAATGTATAGAACTCTCCATGATGAACCTCGGTTCATGTAGGCGATTGCCGGCAGTGATAAAAACCCTAACGTGAAAACGAAGAATCCAATTATCCCGACACTCCCTCGCCACTTCTTGCCCACTAGTTCCGATGATAGCACGAGAGCACACGTGCCAATTGTCGCGCGTCCAAATCCAGTGGCGAATCTCAAGCCGAAGTAGATCCACACGTTGGTAGAGAAGACCGTAAGTAGGGATGAGCAAGACATTGCTAAACACGAGAGGAAGAGCATGTTTTTGCGGCCGAGCGAAGAGTCGGCGAGCGTCCCCAAAAGCAAACCGCCAATCAAGCATCCCATGAAGAAGGACGAAGCTGGTAAGCCCTTAATTACTGAGTTTGCGCATTGAAGGCCCCACTCAGATACTATAGAGGCGTGCTTGGGATAATCCCATTGCCATGAGGAACTACTCGGAAGTTTACAAACGTCAGAAATGGAGTTGCAATACTCATCGTCGAGATTCGCGCAGTGCCACGGCGGTAGAGCGTCGGTGAAAATGCTTATGAACGTTTGCTGCGCGTCGAAGAACCAAGCAAGCGACACAAGCGAGGCTTGCACGAGCTGAGCCCACCCAAAATCTTTCATCGACCGCTCGATCATTGAGTCCAACGACGGGTGGTGCTTCTCGAGCTTCGGAGGTTCTTGCTCGCCGCAGCCGGTGGCGGGTTGTGAGAGCAACGGAGTCGGGTCGGCCATTCTTTTAAGTGCTCTGCTTCTTGCTGGATTTGGAATTTCTTCTGTATAGGGGAAAAGGAGAGTGAAGTAGCTGATTTTAGAGATGAGTGTGACAGAGCAGAATGTGTAGGATCTATATTGTTCTTGCTTGTTGAGTATAGTGGGTGATGAGCGTTTCAACTGGGTAATAAATAGCTCCTAGGAAGGTTGCAGAGTGCTTTTGAGACTTGAACTTTTTATTCCGAGTTGTTGGAGTTGAGCTGGATATTAATCATGCGCAAAATGCCAAAAATGAAGTGTTGTGCATTTGGGGATAACCTGTAACATCTGATCTGTATTTAAATCAGTGAGGCACAGCCTCCACCTTCTTTATTACTAAAACACATCCTCTGTTTTTTTTACGTTAACTGACTAAATTACCCTTTAATCACAAGATTTGATTCGATATTTACAATTCACATTACGCCTCTCGTTCAACAAAACTAACCTCAATGTGCCTCTCCTTCGCATACCATATCTGTGCTAAGTTTCAAACAAAGTCAATTAGCTAACTCATCTATGCTGTCATTTTGAGTCGGTAAAAATAAAAGACGTCTTTTGTCTTAGTAGATTTTTGTTTCAAAATCAAAAATAATTTTTCCTTTTCGCAATCATGAATTCATAATTTGTTGAATTTGAGTTCTTAGAACTTCTTCACTTTACAACTTAATTTTATTCATAGAAAAGAAAATTGAGGGCTTGGATCACGAGCAATATTAAGAACATTCTTGATTGTTGAACAGTAAAAAATTAGTCTCTATCGTTTTCTTTCCTTTTCTTTTGTATTTTAAAGTTTATTTCGGTCTTTATGGCTTTAAGATCGGAAGGAACTAACAAATTAAAACCCTAAATTGAGTTTGTAGCTTTGAATACACATTCGAATTTTGTTTTTACTATTTTGGAGGAAAGAGTAAACGCATCTCTTCAATCTAAGTGCAAGAAAGAATGATTTCTTCTTTGAAGTAAATTAAACCGAGATACGAAAGTAGTAACTTATAATCATTGTTTACCTGAAAAAATGGTGTTATTAACCCTTAAATTATTCTTTTTTGTGCTTTTAACTCAGACGTTGAGTAATCTATGTGTGTCGATCGTTAATGGGCAGGTGTCTAATTGAATCTCACCCTTGTCGTTGACCCCGACTTCGAAATCATAATTGCTGCTATGATGTCTAGATGTCCCAACCATGTACAACTCTACTTTTTCCATACACACCAAGTGATTATGATCATAATATTCCACCCAAAGAACGTAAGCTCACCAAGAACACACGTCACGATCTCTATCATTGATTACATGTTGAATAGGATGTTTGGACTCAGCCAATACCATATAGGCACAAAGGGAAGTTGATTGCTCGACGATGCTTGTTCTCACTCGAGATCACGTGCCGAGTTTGGAGTAGACTTCTTCATGTAAGTTGTAACCCTACCTCGCAATAATACGTATGACCCGCCAAAAAAAATAAGGTTATTTAACCTAACGGGATCATGATTGGTGGATTAGCATGTGTATAATCTAATGCTCCGAACTTAGAGTGTGAGCTGGATTTAAATGACTCAGATCCACGTCAAGCTGACAAATTGTTGATATAATACAAGGAGGGCAAGAGATCATGTGCATCGAGACGGGGAAGATTCAGTAAAAGAACAGATGGACGAAGCCTTGCGCAACCTTCCACCTCGTGGCGATAAGGATCACGCGATGTCCTTTGCCTGTAAGCATCTATTCATATCCCTTTTGGATTCGTGCTATTGATTGACCCAAAGGGCACCACGTTTATGTACACAGAGACAAAAAACGATGATCGTGACAAGGAGGTGGGGACTCCAGCGTCTAAACGCTCCGTTCGTTTGGCGGAAAATATTTCTCTTTTGGAAAATATTTCCCGAAGTCATTTTGAAAAATATTTTTGAAACACGATTTTCGGTGTTTGGCTAAAATCGAAAAAGTTTCGGAAAATATTTTATGGTGCCGGTTCGGCGAATGGCGCGCCTTTGGGAGATGAATAAACGGGTCTAGGGTTTATAGCCGCCCTCGTGTTCCCTTCTGAGTGATGAACGGTACGCAGGTCAAATCGGGTTATGATGCGGTTGCGGGGCCGTACGAGTGTTGTTTGGAGTGATGTCAAATTCGAAGATTAGACAAAACCCTGTGCTTTTCGGCCCGGTCAAACCCGGGCCCGGCCCGTTGACCGGGTCCGCGGTTCGGAACCGAAACCGGGCCCGTAGGCCCACAGGCCCAGTTCCGGTTCCAAATTATTTTTTTTAAAAAATTCATTATTTAATTTTTTTTAATAAAACAATTTGAACTCTAATTGCCATGCGTTGTAAGTACATTGATCTCTAATTACAATTCTTGACTTTGGTGTATTGAACTCTAATTACAAGGCTTGGCTTGGATTTTATACACAACCCATTTGATGGTCTTTTCATTCCCATTCGATATGGGACTCTCGGCTTGCCTTGAACACCTTCAATGTGAGACTCTTGGCTTGTCTTCATGCAAATGCCAAGAGTCCATATCGAATGGGAATGAAAAGACCATCAAAGGGGTTGTGTATAAAACCCAAGCCAAGCCATGAGTAAGTGAAGTTGTATGCCTTTTGTGTCTACGATCCTTTGCTAGTTAAGAGCAAAGGGTTCCAAATTAAGGGACCGGTCTTACTGGTTCGGTTCCCGGTTCTGAGCGGAACCGGACCGAACCAGGAACTGATCACCCCTACAATTTACATTTGGGAACCGCGAACCGATTACCCCTACAATTTACATTTTGATTACAATTTATATTGAATAATTCATTATTTCATAATTTTATAATTCATTATTTTTTTATTTCATAATTTATTTTTTAAATTTTTAAAGGTTATGATGCGGTTGCCGGGCAGTACGAGTGTTGTTTGGAGTGATGTTTGTTGTTTAATCGGCGACGGGGCGGAAGCAAATCATAATTTTGCAATTAAGTCGAGAGTTGTAGAAATTTGATAGAGAAAATAAAACGAGGAACAATAAAAGGACACGAGAAATTTACGTGGTTCGATCTGAATTTCGGAACCTACGTTCACGTGGAGAACCGACAAATAATCCATTAATAAATCAGGGAATTATAGAGTTACAATCACTCATATACTCTAGTGTTTCCCAACCCTAGTATATACCCAATATCTACAGTATTTAATAACTCAACTCAATGGACTCTCTCTACGTACAAGTCTGTCCGAGCTCACGCCTCTGTTCTCTCGAGCTCTCGATTTCTCTGGACTTCTCTCTTCGCTTCGCCCACAATGGATGACAGCATACAAGAGGACATTCGGCGCCCGCAAGACAAGCCTCTGAAGCAGGAATGTCTATGGGTATGCATGCACATGGTCGTGTGCATGCATTACACGAGGAAGAAAAATGGAGACGTTCTTGCACATGGCCCTTCCTCTTTCTTCATTTATTAGCAAAGATAAAAGAAGCCAAAAGGAAAAAGCGATGGAGCAAAAGTCAAGAAGATGAAGACTTTGTAATATGTTCTTCAATTAATGCTCCTCGTTCGGCGACGAAAGAATTTCCAAGGCTGGATAATTCTTTCGTCTGCTCAAAACAAGCGTTTCTCATTAAATGCTCTGCGGTCGTGCTTCCTCATTTCGGCGTATTGACAAATGCTCCGAGAGCAGATCGGGTACCTTGCATGAATTCCAACTCGAGACACAATTTAATAATATCAATGAAAAATTAGAGTGTATGGGACTAGATGTAAATGGGCAAGAACCAAGGCTTACAGGACGCGCCACTAGCCAAGAATCAAGATCGGGATTGACAAGAATGCGCCACCAGCCAAGGATTAAAGATCGGGATTGACGAAGTTCACCACCAAGGCCTACTAAAAATCACTAGCTGAGGATATGAGACTTCGGAATTGGAGCAACTCACCACCAAAGATTACAGAAAATCACCAACAGAGGATACAGGGCTTCTTTGCTAACCATCAATGAAGAATCCACATTCCAAGGATATAGTCAATGATAGATATTTGCTCACATAGAGGCAAGTCTCATATATTCTCATTCATCAAAATCGTCTTACTTACATTCGAGAGTTCTCCTCATTATATAGAGGGATTATTATACAGGAAATAGATTAAGCATTAAAGATATGGGTAATTAATTAAGGACATAGGAACTAGAAAACACAATAAGGTCTTAGTAACTATAAAATGCATTAAACACCTAGAGACTTGAACTTAGATTCTTAAACCAACAATACTCTTAAGACTAAATACATTTGACCAAATGTAAAACGATTAAACTTAGACTCTAAATTTGTTCGTCATCCTTGGGAGCCGAATAGTCATCTTAGGAGATCTCCAAACAAAGATAGAAATCGATGAGAACAGCCTCCAGTCATTAGGAAGTCAATAGGGAGTCTCAAAATCGACAATAAATTTGTATAGCGATATTTCGGTAGTCGATCGACAACTATGAAATCGACAACTTATCCACCGAATCAATAACTTTTCCACATAATCGGCAACCATTCTTACTATTGATAACTAGCATGTATCGATATCTCGGTAGTTGTTCGATAACCATGAAATCGACAACTTGTCCACCGTATCAATAACTTTTCCACATAATCGGCAACAATTCTTACGTAACAATAACTAAAATGTAGAATTGACATGAGTTGATCGACAGAGCCCAATGCTCCCGCATCAATCTCCCCAGATTGTTAAAAATTTGTCCTCAAATCTTGTCATGGCTTCATTTCCAGGACGGCATCTCCAACGAACTAGATAGTACATCAGCTTCATATTAAAAAATATCTTCAAGGCTTGCTGATAAGCTGAAAAATGTATCAAACATATATTGATAAATGATTATCACTTTGAGAGAAAATGCTTGGGGGCATATGAAATGAAAGCGGTAAGTAATGTCTCCGGTTGCTATAATTTTTCCTCTTCATCTATGACTTCAACATTTGTCTCAACGCATATATCTGGAGATTCACCGTCCATAATATCATAGTTGCTTGATGGCATCTGGATGACGAGCATCTCTCCTTCTTCAATTTGTTCTGGGATCTCGTCTTGCTCCTTGGATTCGGACTCTACATGGTACGAATCTTGTTGAGTTTCTTGGAAATATGTACCTTTAGTTGAAGCTCTTTAACGAACTCGGGGCGCTTTTCCTTTTCTGTCTCCTGCTTTGAAAAATTCTCGGCTTGGTGAGAAGAAATATCTTCAAGGAAATATGCACCTTCGGTTGAAGGCTTAGCTGAAAATCTATTGCCACCCTTTAGTCATTTCTCTGGGAGAGTGATGTCCCTCTCCATTTGTCGGAGTTCAAAACGTAGCAAGTGCTCCTGCTGTTGCTGCACTTGTTTCCTTTAATCTTCCACCTCTATGTCTCGTAGATCTCTTTTTCGAGCTATAGAAAACTCAATGTTTGGTCCACGTCAACATCGACGATTGATATCTTTTAAACACCTCAAGGAATTTGAATAATTATTAGATTATTTCGAAGTAAAGACGAATTCATACAATGGCATGCAACTTGGGGAATATGCGCACTTGAATTGAGTGACGTAACTAAATTCTCTCCCTCGTCACTGGCCACATGCAATCTAAAAGCGATTTAGTTGCACTAGAAGAGTTACGCTTTGAAGGGACCTAAAAGTTTCCTCACGTGGAAGAATTCCCGGGCGCTTGTCTCGTCGCGGACCACTTCTGTGGCGGAGCAACTTGCGCCGATGGTCCATGCAAGCGCCCACCCAATAGTTTCTCCAGCCCATATCGCTCTGATCACCAGACGAATCTCGGTCTCGAAACCGCAACACATCCACACATTGTGTATACGAAAAGTAAGCATCGTTCCTGTTCGGTGGTCCCTTTGTGAATATTTTTCAATTGCCAGGGAGGGGGTCCTGACTCTTTGTCAAGCAGCTAGATGCTGCACTGTAGATTGGAATCTAGAGTTCAATTGAGATGCTTCCAAGAGCTCTTCAAGAGCATGTGTATGCGTTCATTAGCAAATGCGTCGAGTCGTTTTTGTCACAGTCGAATGCATTAGTAAGTCCATATCAGGACTGATGGGTAATAGGAGCTCACCCATTTCATGTTGATAGTATAGTAAGGCCGAAAAGGCCTAAAGAGGTGAATAAAGCCCATTGAGTTTAGGCTGATGTATAATGTTCATTTTCCAAACTGTGCTAGATTTAAATGAGCCGAAGCCCATGGCTCATAAAGAAACAATTCGTTGTAAATCCCTTAACTCGGATGTAGATGACCTGCTTTTGACCGGATCGGGAGATTGACTTAATTTGATGCCCAAAAGGTAACTCCAGGTGCAACCGGATTGCTAAACTAAAAAATAACAATCATGCATTACTATCATATAAGTTTGACATGGCACCTTATACTTTTAATGTGTAAGGCTAAGATGTACTTAGACCCGTCAAAATGGATCATAAACTCATTTCTTAATCCATATTTGATGGATTGGTTGTTATATGAATTAGTAATATTCAGTAAATGGATCATAAATGAGTTTGCACTCAACTATATAGGTCACAAATGGGACAAATATAGGTGTTAAATGGGTTTATAACTTACTTAGACCCAACCCACCTATATGACTTTCTCTCGCCCTCACTCACTCCGTGCTTTCACTTTAGTATGGGTATAATTTTTCCTAAATTTGGTTAAAGATAAAAGTGTTTTAGTAATATAGATCTGATCGGGTCGAGTAAGAGTCAATTCTATATTGCATGAAAATGGGTCACCATCTAAAGATTAAGATGCAATGGGAGAAGTGCTCATTGAGAGTGAAATATCCCACCATCTTTAAGCTCTACATGAAACACAAAAAAGAATGATGAAAAGAACAAAATAAACTTTTTTGTTTATGAGGAAGTCCACCTTAAGTAGGAAAATCTTAAGCCAGTAAGATAACTCACCATTTCAAGAATCAGATGAGATGTGAGCCTAATGTCTGATGGGTGCATAAGTGACGTGGAGAATCGAACTTGTGTCGTGCGCCTAATCAAAACGAGTCATTCTCACGTGGTTAAAATGAAAGGAATAAAGAAAGTTGCCAAAGTCTTGTAGATGGGGAAACCATTTTCGTACCGTGAAAGGGGACATCCTTTACTTCTTTCAGGAGGAACCAAAGCCAATATGGTCCTTAACTCGTCAGAGTGTCTCAAGCCAAAGATATTTGTCTCGCAAGAGAAGTAGCGTCAGGAAAGTAACCAAAAGGAAAAGAATAGCTTCCCAACACACCAAAAAGTCATTCTTTTCTTTCCCAATGTTCATGCAAAGGACTGCATCGAGTATATAAGCGTGTGCTCTCTCCCTTCTTCTTTCTTCACCAACTGATTCTCTTTCCCAATACGCAACTTCTAATCACAAGCCACATTATGTCCTTGAATCCGGCTGGTGATGGCACAGGCACAAGCACGGCCTCGGCCACGGGCACGGGCACGAGCACAGGCACAGGCACGGGCCCTAGTGCGGGCACGACTCCGAACTACCAGCTCTATTGGTGCTATCAATGCCACCGTATGGTCCGGATAGCGGCTGCCAATCCATCCGAGATCATTTGCCCGCGATGCTTCGGCCAATTCGTCGGGGAAATCGACAATCCTAGCCCGAGATTAGTGGTCGACTTCACCCAGTTCGATCCTTCTCCAGAAGCCCGATTGCTCGAAGCCCTTTCCCTCGTCCTCGACCCTCCGATTCGGCATTTCAACAACCTCAGTCTCGACAATCAGGGATCCGAGCTTCGAGGCCGATCTCGACTTAGACCGCGGGGTGATGTCCCTGATCTTGTGGAAAGAGATTTTACGCATCCTGAGGGTGATTTCATAGAGCTGAGGCCAATGCCTAGGCCGAGGCCAAGGCCACGGCGGAGGAACCGAAGTCTTGACAGTAGAGAGAGCCTGGACCTGGATGGCAACGGCATCTATGACAGGCCCTTCACTTGGATCTTTCTTACGCCAGCTGATCCTTCTCGTCCAATCATACCGCCTCCTAGGAGAGAGGGCACAGTAGCGAGAGGAATAGATCCTAGGGATTTCTTTTTAGGGCGGGGGCTCGAACAGCTGATAGAGGAATTGACACAGAACGACCGTCCCGGCCCACCTCCGGCCCCTGACAATGCCATCAATGCGATACCGACCGTGACGATCGAACCAAGCCACTTAAAAAATGACTCGGAGAGTTGTCCTGTGTGCAAGGAGGATTTCAAGGTCGGCGGGGAAGCGAGGGAACTGCCTTGCCATCACTTGTACCATTCGGATTGTATCGTCCCGTGGCTGCAGCTCCACAACTCCTGCCCGGTCTGCAGGCAGGAAGTGCCGCTTGTTTCTTATCCCGAGGTTCCAGGGGACGACTCGGAGTCGCACGATGAAGAAGGAAGGTGCTCCAGATGGCTGCGACGGAGGCATCTGTGGCCGTTTCGAGCCAGGCACAGGCAAAATCACCCACCAGGTAACGGTTCCTAGTGCTTTCTCACTCAAGTAATCGACACAATAATTGAAACCGAGGATCAAAGCGCCATGCTTTTGATCTTCTCAAATCCTGTCAATGCCTGTCCAACTACTAATTAGATGCGAAATTGCTTTAAAGCTTCTCAATGTACGATACTTGTACCAATGCAATATTGCCAATAAATACTTTGGCCGATTCCAACGTTACTTCTCGATGAAAAAACCTTCACAACTGTCAAGCTTTCGGATGGCCATGCTTCAATACTTCATAATTTCTGTAACTGCATGTGCATCATCTTAATCTTTATACTGTAGCTCTTTTATCATTTCACTGTCCTCTTTTTCCTTTCGGCAGCTAACTCGTGGTGGAATTCCTGCAGCATTCTGTAGCTCGTTAGATTTCGCAATTGCCATCGCCGGGAGAGTTCTTAATCGATTTGTATGATAGAAAACATTGGGTAGGATTTAAAGCACAAAATGCATCATGTCCCTAACTCTAAACAGGGTGCGCTACGTTACAGGATGATCATCATCAATCATGGTATGGTAGTATGACAGATTGACCCAGTATGTGACCTCTAGCTTCAACAATTAAATCACTTCATATTGGAAAGACCATTCGAATTTGTGATCATAGCAAAGCCATTGTAAAGTTTGATATCACACATGTTTAATCTACAACCGACCCCGAGAACCATCGTCTGAAGGAGAACACATTAGCATTTGCTGGAACTTCATATCGAATCGTCCACTATGCTATCTTCAATTTGCTTCGTTGTGCATTACTTTTACTCATTCTGGGATTGCCCGCACCCGACCCGAACTTCTATCGGACTTGGTTTTATGCACAAAAAAAAAAAAAAGTTGTAGTGATTCTTTCTTGTATAATACTCTGAAAGCTGCATCGCTCCTCGGGGCTTTGACATGCTTGTTCACCATGTATTGATAATGGCAAAGGCTGCAGTTTCTTTCAAGTTCACTCAGCGCCCTGAGATTCTCACTGTTCGGAAACCTTTGGTTCCCAAGGGGAACTAGGTTGGAGCTATTTTAACAAAATTACTAAAAATAAAAAGGGAATAACACTAATAATCCTTAAACTTTGACCCAATGTGCAATACAATCCTTAAAATTTTAATTTGTTCAATTTGATCATTGAACTATTCCTATACGTTCAATATAGCCCTTTTGTTTGATCAAATAATAACAAGTTAGACATTATTCGATCAAATCAAATATTGAATGGTGGGTTAGACTCTTGAAATGATGGTTCACTACGATATAAGAATATATGACCGTGAATTCCATTTTCTTATCCGTTTATATGCATAAATTCATTGTTGCGTCTTTCCTTAAAACCTAATAGATTGAAGGACATGTCTACAAATTCTGTTAACTTGAATGAATGAAATGACGACATTAAACTCCTGAATACTGTCTTGGGACTACATTGAGCATCTAGTAGTAATTCATGGACCACACTGAATAAGTAAAAAGTTTAGGGATGGCGTTATACATTGGGTCAAAGTTTAGGGATTAGTAGTATTATTTTCCCCAAAATAAAAGGTATGAAAAGAATATAAGCTAACAGAAAGTGTAGCAAGTCCATGTCATCCGAATTCTTTATAATAAAATAAGGTGTAATTTGAATGAAGTAGAATTTGTACATGGAAATCAACAGCTCTAATTACTAAATTACATTTGATTAGTGATTCTTCTTACTTGATTGGTAAGGATTAAACAATCTAAGTATTCTCAATTTTAGGCATACATATTGGGCCATAATAATCATCACTCTTAGAGACACGCTATATGGTCTAACAAGGGAAAATGATATAAATGGTCCATGCATTTTGGTCCAATATGCAATGTTTTCCATGAACTTTTAATTTATTCAATATAATCCATGAACTTTGGCTCAATGTGCAATATTGTCCCTAGACTATTAATTTATTCAATGTGATCTCAGATTTGGGCAAGGCCTGGCCTCGCTGGCCACAGCGGAAAAAAAAACGTAAATAAAATCATAAAAACATAAAATAAAATATTTATAATTCTTAAAAATTACAAAACTTCTTCATGCCAGCGCCAGCCATGCCACATAGGACAGCAGATATCCACGTCTGCGATTTTTTACCTAAATTGGCTAGAATGACTAAATTGGCAAATTGTCAAAAGTTTAGGATTAAATTGGCCAAATTAAAAAAGTTTAGAACTAAGTTGGCATTTGTACAATAATTTAGGACTGTTTTGGTAATTTTCCTAGTCCAACCCTAAGTAAGTTTAAATTGAATATATCTTACATATTATCCTTAATCATAGAGAACTGTATTCATGACGGACACATGCATATGATATATATAGTAAAATGAAAGGAAACAAAAGGGAAAAAATTGCCTCGACCAGTTACCGGGATGACCCTAAAATCAGCCTGGAACCAACTAGCTCAGTTCCAAGGTAAACAAGATCAATTCCCAGTTCAAAAAGCTAAAATAGGGTCTTAAAACCTACCCACCCTAATGGACACTGTATTTTGGTCTAGCATGCAATGTCGTCTTTGAACTTTTAATTTGTTCAATATGGTCCATAAACTTTGACCCAATGTACAATTTCATCACTAAACTTTCAATTTGGACCACATTTGGGTGAGACCTAGCCTTGCCAGCCACAATAGAAAAAAAATGTAAATAAAAAATATATAAATATATATAATTAAAAAAATTGCAAAAACTATCCACATCAGCGCCAGCGTGCCATATAGGCCAATTAGCGTCCACGTCAGTAATTTCTAACTAGAAGGATTATATTGGTAAATTGTCAGAATGTTTAGGACTAAATTGGTCAAATTGAAAAGTTTAAGACTGAATTGGCATATGTACAATAGTTTAGGATTGTTTTGGTAATTTTTCCAATCCAAACCTAAGTAAGTTTTTTAATTCTTTTTTTTAAATTGAAAATATTCGTTTTTTTTGTCGAAAAAAAAATAAGGGGAATTGTTCTTAAGCATGGAGAATTGTATATTTGACAAATTATCCTTAATCGGGGAGAATTATATTCATGTTGAACACATGCATATGATATATATATAGTAAAATGAAAGAAAACAAAAGGGAAGAAAATGCTCGACTAGTTAACGGGTTGACCCTAAAACCGGTCAATTCCAAGGTCAACATGGTCGATTCCCAGTTTCAAAAACTAAAACGGAGTCTTGGAACCTGCCCACCCTACCACCAATCAGCCTCATCCAAATGTATATACGGACGACTCAATCTATCGATATCCACTATAATCAAGACCAGATCCCATCAAATTCTACGTTTAAGATAAAAGTTACACATCTCAATCCATTTCCATTATGGATGTGTAGTTTGTCTTGTGTTCTGAACAACTCATCCTTATGATCCTTGTTTAATGTCGGAAGAGCGTGACCAAGTTCAGTGTAAAGAACAAACAAGAATGGGGGCCCATCCGTAATTAGAAATTCATAAATGGGCATGCCATGTGCAGTCATTCGGCTAATCCAAACTACTGGATACACGATAAGAAAGCCCATTAAAAGACATTCTCTAGTGTCAAATACTTGCAAAGAAAAGTGCAATTTTGCTCCAAAAAAAAGCTATGTTCATGTCTGCATACACAAAAGAAGAGTGCATGCCTTTTATTAGTACCTCTTGGTAACGAACAATGCGAGAAAAGCATTCCGAGAACAATTATAATGTAAGATGGATAGACCGCTTATTTTGTCACTTTCGACCCATCATTTTTCGACAACGTCCGATCCGGAGATCCCTAAGTCTGCGTTTGGTGGCACGAATAGAATAATATCTAGATCAGATAAGATCCGACATAGGGGATGGGATAGATCCGGATTGGATATAAAATTTTAAAAATTAACTTAACAGTTCCCACACACCAAGAAAACCCCATCTCAGGCGAGACTCATTGTCATTGGCATTTCTCATCGACAGCACCCCACCACCACAGCACCCCACCACCACTACGATGGCCGTCCACCTTGACCGTCTCTCACTCCGACATCCTCAAGTATTCTCGTCGGTGCCCTTGCTCACGGCTTACTTGGAAGACTAGAGCTCAGCACCTCATCCGTGGCTCCCTCCCTTTCTTAGATGTTTTTCTAGCTTTTCCATTATTACCGAATCATCTCTTGATTCCTCTCTCTACTTCACCTCTGATTACTCATTCTCAGCCCCCATTGTTCCCTAATCTATCTCTTGGTCAACTCTGAACTAGCCCCCCCCCCCCCCCCCCTCCCAGTAGCTTCACCACAGTAGCTCCACCTTCAAATCATATCTTAGGTTGCACCAAATATATGATGAGATATTTCTACAATCCAAAAGATATTTGGAGGATTTCAAATCCCCCTTATATCCTAATCCAAATCTAAACGACCAAACGCAGGTTAATAGTGATAAACTAGGGTTCACCTCAGTTATCTTTTTATATATATCCTACGTATTCTAACATTTAAGTCATTACTAGAATATTTTGTATCACCACATGGCACAATATTAATGGAGGGTTTATCTAGAGTTGAGTAGGCCCGACCTCACTTTTGGACAACCCAAAATAGGGAAGAAGTTAAAAAAGAACTTAAGCGGAAGCGAATACACTGGGTAAGAGGAGGCAAGAATATATTCTAAGCTGTTACCTTGATCTAATTGTATTTTGAATCTCACATAAGTATACTTGATCTTTTGAAGAAGCATCAACGAACGAACCATGACAAAAGAAGACAACATACGCAACGATATATTACATTTATCACTTCCTTATTACATTCTTAGATGATGAATATATGGCATAGCGTAAGACACACTCTTGGCAGAAAATGATACATAAAAAAATGAATACAATCTAGAGATACTCACATGAGGGAGTCCAAAAAGATGTCTCTCCCCATGTGGGCTTCGCCACCTAGCTAGCTAAACCCTCAATTACCCTTACATAACATATTATTTTGGTCAATATCATCAGGAATTTCCCCTTTGGAATAATGAAGAGATTTACTATGAATGGTAAAAGGAATATATCAACAGAAGCTCCATAGCCGGATATCTTCAGCTTCTTCTAAAAGCTCCTCGACCGTAGGAGGATCAAATGACGCCGCGGCGATGTTATTGTACATTACTTGATCCACGTACTTCGGTGATTGGAGGGTATCGAAATTACACCAAAAATCCATCATATCCATCGATTCGCTAGGAGTGTACGCCCCGACACATTGCGCAAGCGACACTTCGTCGTCTAGTTGATCCGACGGCGAGGAACACAAAGATGGGGACGAGACAAATGAGGGAGGGGTGGCAGCAGATGTGGCGGCAGTGGTGACGATGACATTATTATCAGCACCACTGCCATTTGCTGCCGCCGCCGCGGCGACTCGCTGGATGGACTTGGGGGACATGGAGGCATTGGGAGGGACATGGTGGTGTGAGGAGGAGAGAGGGAAGTTGAAAGTGGCTGAAGAGCCCTTGATGCAGAGGAGAGCAGCGTCATAGGCTCTAGCTGCTGCCTCAGCAGTGGAATAAGAGCCCAACCAAATCCTCGTCTTCTGGTTTGGTGCTCTTATCTCCGAGACCCATGAGCCCCAGCTTCTCATCCTCACTCCCTTGTACTTCTTTCTCAATGCACTGGCTGATGGCATGGATGACTCTGGCTCACTCTTCACCATTGGCAAAACAATGCCGCCAGAGAGAGATAGAGATCAGCAAGAATGTTTCAAAGAGAGAGACTATGGGGTGATGAGATGGAAAGGGTTGGCTCAATATGGTGGATTTTCAGTGAGAGTGTCTTCTCCGTTTGCTTTTTGGCTGTTGTTCTTGCGAAAGTGAAAGGAGTAATGAAGGGTCAGAACACAAATGAGGGAGTAAAAAGAGGATGCTGATTTATAGATTCATAAAATTGTAGCCCAAGAAACAAGCAGGCAGCTTCCTTCATCCTTATTTAAAAGTGTGGGGTTTTGGATATATGGATGACAGGTATTTTTTTCTTATTATTTTTACATATCATGAGAGAGATATATGATATTGGATTTATGCTCCTCTAGCTTATTCCAAACATATTCTTACCGACCGGTACTTGACAGTGAAAGTAAGGGCCAGGTTTTTGAATGAGTCAAAGGGCCTTTATTGCTTTCTGCAAAATCACCCAAAATGTCAAAGACGACACAGAGTTGGCGATTGGCGTGCTGATATGACTGCAAGGAGAATGACCATGGAAATATATCGTGACCCATACTCAAGATTTATTCATAAAATTATGTGTCTGAACTTTTATTGGGTTCCTAAAGATGAACCAAATTTGTATAACTGTTCTTCTTGCAATTTTACCAACCATTTATGAAACGAGTTTAGTGTCTCTGAATTTTACTGCTCGCGAGGCAGTTTGTCAAAGCAGTTGCATGTATGACCACCCTGACCACATTGACCCAGCAAACCTTTTTTAAAATACCTTAAATGCAATGTTTTCAAAGGCCAACACAAAACCCAGTGGTCTCTGGAGAAAGTGTAGGCCAGACCAGCTTGGCACACACACCAATATAGAATAATGAACGTTCTTTGCCCCCTTGTGATTCTTGACTTTCTCAGCAAGTCACACCCCCACATGTTATCTGCATTATGGACACAGTTAAAAGTCAAGAAAGGCAAAACAATATGAAAAGAGAACCAAATCAAATTACTAAACTCTATTTCATTTTACTAATAAATTATACAAAGGGCAATGCAGCTCATGAAGGGGGAGAGAGAAACATAGGATGCTGCAAGAAGGCAGCTTCCGAGGAGCTGCATATGATGCTCCAGAGCTTCAGATTGGCTGTTACACATAAAAATAATTTAAAAAAGAGACTAGGGTTTACAATTATTTAATAGAATTTGTAATGATATTCATTTACAACAGCGAAATAAGCAACCAAAAGTACTTGACACGCGCATTACCAAGAAGTAGAATCCTGCTTGACGAAAGCACTGAGACACAGACACGCCCAGCTGTGTCTGGCCTGTCCCGCAGACCAAAACCGCGTCCTCTGGGTGGCGTCTTATCTCATTCTGATGTTGATGCTTCGCACCTTGAGTGTCTGATCGAGTACGAGAGATTGAGGATGGGCGTGCCCAATAATGTAATCAAGAAAGAGGAGGCAATACGTCAATGCATCGCTCTCAACTGTTGGATGGCATTGCTTAAGTGCTTACGCCATGCATGGCTTGACTTTTCGGGATGCAACCCGAGCTCATCACAGAACAAGTTGCCTCTTGGAATCGGACGGACTTTTCAAGGGTCGATAAGATTCGCCATGGTACGGCAAGGATATAAGCCTAATGAATGAACGATGCCTCGTCCCATTGAGGCGCTGTCGAGGACGCCCTTTTCAAGGACGAGTAAAATCCTTGGGGCGCTGCTTCTCCAGTCGTGCCTCGTGCACGCCGAGCCCACTGCCCAGGACCGGGTGATCATCGGAGACTTTAGCTCACTTCATGTTCACATTGCAATTAGTCATTAAAAGTGTAATTTTCTTCTCTAATTAGCGACAGCTAAGGCCCATGATCTCTCTTAGGAAAGGGAAGGTCGTAACGCGAACCTAATATGGTTAGATATACTTAACGAGAAGACATTTAATTTTTATAGTATTGATTGTGCACCGGATCGGTTAGTGAATCGGAAATTGCGATATTTTCCTTTTTAGTTGTTTGTCAAGTGCCTTGGGGAACCTTCTCGTCGGAGAACACTTTTCGTCCACCTCCACTAAATGCATCTTCGATTTTTATTAACTTCTAATTTTTAATTAAAAACTTATAAGAGTAAACCCACAATTAAAACCACTTGGAAAGTAGAGCGGCCCGTACCCAAAAGGATCTTACTCACTAGTATCTCCGGAGCGCTTATTAATAATATTAAATAAGACTAGTCCAATTTTCAACTATCAATTACACATGAACACGTGAATAATTGATGTACTGCAAACATCAAGTTTTCTTTATTTGATTATACAACAAGTGCCTCGTTAACAAAAGCCAGTTCAAAATAACAAAAGGGTCTCCTTTTTCGGGAATCCTTTTGCATTTAACCCCGATATTACATAGAAATTGTAACTCTGGAGAGGTTCAAACATGTCATAAAGAAAACAAGTAAATTTTGAATATATGGATTGCAGGATGCAAAATTACACTCCACATAAATATTATAAAAAATCAATCACAAATCGTAGTTCTCATGGACGAAATACGAATACAAATAACTCCGCTAAATACTTTTTTTTCATGAGGCTAAAATAAAAAGGGGGAAATGTACATGGTAAATGAACGGGCTGAATTAAAAAGCAACATCAGAAGGAGGACGCCGAGTCAAAGCAAAATCCTAGATCATAATAGTCCTAAAGCTACACGTGATGATGATACAGATTTCCCATCCCATTAACATTGCCAGTTGTGGCATCATCAATTCTCACTATTTTCTAACTACTCTAAACGTGTGACAAAGTGTGGAAGTAGTCAAAGTCACCGCTTTTCAAAACCAAGGAACCTCCAGGCTTTTGCCAAAGCAAGCTCCATCTTAATTTTTTCTAAGGTCTATTATAGAGTGACATATTCAACCGTTAATTTTGATTATGATGTATCATATAACTCTCCCTGATTCATCGGTAATGCCCGTTCTACCTGGGAAGGAAAGGATTGAGCAAAATGATTGATATATTATACATTGTGAGTCCTTGTATTGATAACCTAAAGCTTTTGAAAACGTGATTGATTAATACTTATTGAGGAGGTAAGTCTACTTCCTCTAGTCTCTTGAATGTTTGAGATAAACCATATATACTTTGCACTCTATAAGATGATATGAATTACATTTTGACCCCACAATTTCAAACTTTAAGACTTTTGTAATCTATAATTTGCTTCATGTGGTACACTTTGCGACCTCTCCTAATTAGAGTTCCTCAACTAGTTTACAAATTAATTTACTAGTTAAGTTTTGATACGACAAATCTTGTATCTAAATCAAAACCATTTCTCGTTTGCAGTAACCTTGACGGACGCCCGGCCGCTACCATATGGCTGAAGTCTTATCTGACGCATGTGGACAGAGACAATCTAACATGCCTACGTAGGGACTAGTTGTACCAGAATGCTCAAACAGCCCCCGGTAAAAAGAATCATTGCAAGAATTTTCCAATATTTTTATTGAATTTAGTTAATGAAGTACTCATAAGGCCCTTGTTGAGCAATGGAATTGCTTTATTCCAATGATAGGTTTTGCATAGAAAGTAGAAAAAAGGGGGAAGACACATAAATTTTTATTTTTAGACGACATGATACTGCATCATTAAATTGCTTTATCCTGGTTATAAATTTTGCATAAAATGAAAGATTAGTGTCGTGGATCCGTACCACTCCTCGCTCCCTCTTCTCCCCTTCCTCGTTCACACCCTTGAAAACATGAGGCGGCGCCTCTCTGTCATCATTGTTTCGGGCTCGTTCGATTAAGATTCAGAAGAAATATATTGTACTTTTATTATTTAATGGCTAAAATTTGTAAATACTGTTTAAATTTTTGGAAAATCGAATTTTTATAATTAGCATAATTTTATATATCAGGTGATTGACAGTAAGATTCCATACATATTAAGCAAACCACGTGTCTCTTTGTTTTCCTTTTTGTTTTTCGCATTTTCAGGCGACACTTCTGTCCTATGTTTACTGCTCGATTAACATTATATATTCTATGTCCTAGAATCAAAGTAATGAAACAAGGGTCTTGCCCCTCCTTGAAGGTGACACGAAATTTCATGTTTCGCTTAGGGTTTTTTCTCCTTTTCACGACAGCTGTGCTTTTACCCCTTTCAATTTCTGGAAGAAAGGGGATTGACAAGGTGGGTATGTGAAATTACGAAATATGAACATTGACCCTGTTATGTTGAGCTCGATTTGACCCTTGGTTTACGCTTCCCGCGAGTGTGCACGACTATGTTGAGCTGGTTTAGACTACTAGAAGCATAGGCTTTAGCCCCAAAAATACAAATGAAAGACGATAGTAACAACTACTAGAAGCAATAGATTGGTCCAAGGTCTTGGCGGTTGCTTGCTATTGCCGTCTAGGCCTAGTTGAGATGTGCCGACCTAGACGTGCCCACATAGAACGCAAAATATTGATTTTCTAAAGTAATTAGTCGAAACTTTTAGGTTTTCACAATTTCATGACCCTAAGTATATTAGTATATGATTTTCGAGGCTCTAACAAAGGCCGAGGACTCCACGTTATGAACCGGCTTTGGGGCTATTTTGACTTTGAGGATTTACTTCATGGGAAATCACTATTTTGAGAATTTGGATTCTCACTTTAAATAAGTGCGATGTGAGAGTTTCCATTAAGAGCAGTTGTAATACTGTTTATTTGCAGCATTATATCATGGAATGATTTCTGTTAGGCACAAATAAGCAAAAGTGAGGGGAAGGAAAGAATTGCCTTTTTCAAGAAAACACAAACTAATTCCGTAAAATGAACTCCGATAAATGTTCTGCTTCTGCGTGCAAAATGAACTAGTGATAAAACAATGGAAATTAAAGAATTTTAGGGAAAGAGAAATTGCAAACGAGCTTTAAATAGTTCCAGCTTGAACGTCCTTACTCCTCTCTTTCAATTCTAGCAGTCCAAGTAGGCCAAATTCTACTAATCATGCCAAGTGTACATATACCGTCTTGTTACAAGTGTAAAACCTGCTGTTACGCAGAATCTAACTTCCTCTCACAAGAACCCCACTATAGACTAAGTAACTATTGGACTCTCCAATAGTCGTTCTCACACCTTGTATACACGGCAAGATAGATCTCCTCGCCAAACTATAAACCACTCTTGTGAGTGTTTACAAAGAGTCCCTAGCGTACTTTATCTTTCACCTAGATACTTTCACTCGGTACAACCACTTTTTTCGTGTGTGGGTTTCTCGCTCTTACTAACTCTTAAGGACAACACTCAAATGGGTATTAGAAGCTCGTGAAAAAGGCGGGCTCAATAATGCTCAAATTCTCTTTTGTTTCCCTTTTCAACTACATGGCCGAGTTTTCTCCAATTTATAGAGCTCTAAATTCGTACATTGCACTTGCATCATGTTCTCGTTGTGTCCATCTAATTCTTTATAAAGAATCTCGGCAAAACTCCTTGAAAAACAAGTAGAGAACCTTCTTCCAGTATGGGCTATCAATCAGATCTTCTATTAATGACATATTTGATCACGCCATTCCACCATCTAATGAGCGAATTAGTCCGTGATTTCAGGCATAAATAATCTTAGAATTTGGTACTTTATTGCTATGAGATGTGTCTTCAATTGAGGCACTCCAACGGTGATCAAATCTACATTTACTTGCTAGGTCCTATTTTTTTTCTTCCAACAACATCATGTCATTGTGGTGTGTAAGGAGCGGAAAATAAACCATATTCAACGTCATACTCATCACAAAACGATTCGAAGTCATGATTGTCTAACTCACCTCCATGATCGCTTCTAATGCAAGAAATGCTAAGCCCATTATCATTCGGATCTTTCTTAGCAACTTTAGCAAATGCATGCAAAGCATCATTCTTATGAGCTAGAAAAAGAATTCAGGTAAATCAAGAGTATTCGTCAATAGTAACAGGTCCATACCTTTTTCCTCTTTTTCCTCCAAGACTTAGTGTCCTTGTGGGACCATATGAGTCTATGTACAATAACTGTGAGGGATGATTGGTAGAGACAAAATCCTTAACTTTAAAAGGGTTCTTGACTTACGAAAGAACATGCATCACAAAGATGCTTTTTCCTCAAATATGATCTTTGCTAGGCCATAGACTAAATGCTTTTCTGAAAGAATTGATTCAAACATGCCTGACCTAATTTTAATGCCAAAGACAAATTTCCATAGCTACGGAAAGAAAACAATCTTCAAAGAATCAAAATCCTATGAAGATAAACATTTTTCAACAAGTTTCTCAAAACTAGTTGGTAATTTCATTAGAAGAAAGTTGGTAAGTCAAACGAGAATTGATAACCCAAAACTAGTTAGTAAATGAATTGGAAAAAAATTGGTAAGTCACTCAAATAAAGATTGATAAATTCATATAAGAATTGGTGACTTTAAGGCATTGGTGAAATAAAAATTCGTAAAAGATAAGAAAGTTGATAACATGTAAATTGTTGAAAAGAACTGATAAAAAAGTTGGTAAATTACCAACAAGTTATTGGGAAATCACGTGACTTGTTATTTTTTTCACCAACGGTGTTTGGACAATGACCAACTCTTTTCGAAATGCGTACATTGCATTTCTAAGATAAACCCAAGGTAAAATCACAACAAGCTAACCATATGTCAAATTCTCTTGGATTGTACCCGAGTTGTAATAGAAAAACACCAACTTTTACATAACTTCCGTTTTATATTTGATTCTCTGCAAACATTTCATACGTTTATAAAATGTCCCGATGCCATGAATGAAGATTGATGCATGCTTCTTCGATTCTGACGTCGACAAGCATTATCTGCAGATGAGCTGGCTCCGTACCTGTAAGTTCCGTACCAATCATAGTGATGGAAGGTGGAACCTGACACTTTCCATTTTATATCTCTCAGTTCAATTGAAATCGCAATCTGAACAAGTAGGGACGAGAGAGAGAGAGAGAGAGAGAGAGAGAGAGAGAGATGGGTTCATTTTGAAATTGGAGGATAAATAGGCAGAAGAAATTCGGGTTGAAAGAATGGGCAACATGAGCATGTGCCCGAGATGGATGAGTAGGTGAGATCCATAGCATGAACATTCAAATCCGCGATGCAGAAACTTCGTAGAAGCTCAGGCAAGGTGTCATCGACAGACCATATCCTCTAGGATACGAGTGTCTTCTAGATTGAAACTCCTTCAGGTATGATGATGAGGCGATGACGTCGGCGATGTTCCGAAGGAGGCGGTGGTCCGTTGTTGACGATGGAGGCAGAGGACGGTGGTGGCACATCTACGGTAGGCTGACCGGTTGAGAGAGAGGAGATGTGAGTTTGGCAAAGTGATTCTGTTTGGTTTTGACTGGGCGTGATGCAGCTCGAATAGAGGAGGACATGTGTTGCGATCTTGTGTATGGGATAGCAGATGGGTACATGTTCATATTCGGGAACGGCCAATTTGCATCCACTTAAACGGGGTCTCGGAATTTCACCGACAGTCAAAAACTAGCCAAGGAGCGCATGAAGTTACACTTGAACAACACTATTACTCTGGTTACTTACAAATGCATTCTAGAAGAAATTGAATTCACGCACATTGCCTGCCTAGAAAGTTTATTACATGAGTCGGGACAAGACTAAAGATGTACATCATTGATGCATGATAATATTACACCAACCTAATGTTCATGGGACGATGATATGTCACTGGTATAGGGATGATAAGATTGCATTCGAATTCATGATGTTAAAAACTGAAAATTATGACTAATACTACTCCTAATGTGCTTAAAGATAAAGGATAAATAAAGGATGCATTGTGTTGTTGAAGAAGGGTCCTTTCTACGTTAGAAGTCCTTGAGTATTTATAGACCAGCCTTGACAACCGTTCCTTGAAAGTCGTTTTCTTTCCACTTCCTTACGTTTCGTGCTTTAACTATTTCCTTACTTGTCGATGTTGCTTACGCTCCTTGAGCATCACGTAGTAGCTAGTTTTCTAAACCAAGTGGTGAACCAATATCAAAAACTTCGAAAATTAGTATCATACTAACACCTTTTGGTGCACGACTTACGACCTTTCTCATATTTTTACCATGTGGGCCGTACTTTTTATATCTTCTATAACTTGTGAATGGGCCATTCCCACCAGGGGTAATTTTGGGTGTCAACACGAGTGCATCTTTCGAATATCGGACAAGACTAAAGATGTACATCATTGATGCATGATAATATTACACCAACCTAATGTTCATGGGACGATGATATGTCACTGGTATAGGGATGATAAGATTGCATTCGAATTCATGATGTTAAAAACTGAAATGTTATATGCAAAATGGGTAAGGTGTCATTTTTATTCCGATACTTGCTATGTCGACTAAACGAGCCACGACCCGAACTAGGATCTAAACCAAGTGGTGAACCAATATCAAAACGAAAATTAGTATCATACTAACACTTTTGGTCGTGACGGATGGTATTGGAGCTCATTAGATGGTTGAAGCAACGCGATGGTTTCTGTGAATGGCAGAATACAAATAGTATGGGTAAGTCTCGATTTCGAATCTCTCGTCAGTCACTTCCATAGCCCGGGTGGCTGGCTGGTGGTATCCTTTTAGCTTTTTAAAAGCCCAACGGTATCCGAACTGGAAAGCCATTGGATTGCATTTAAGAGATGGGGTTGGAACAATCCTCTTAGCTTAGCTTAGCTTAGAAGACCTTTCCATCTTTGACTCTTTCTAATCTCATGCCTGGATTGAAGCTTAATCCTTTGAAGATAAAGAGAAATTGCCATTTGCAACTGGAGTTTCCGCTGATGTTTAGCACCAAATGGCACGAATCAGTGGATTTAAATCGGGGTCTCTTCCTATCACCTATTTTGATTTGCCTCTTCTTAGTAGCTTACTCTCTGAGGACTGCAACCCACTGATTGATCTGATATGAAGTGGGATTAGAAACCGGGCTGCCGAAAGAGGTTGCATTTGCCAATAAGCTCCAACATACTATCCCTTTGTTGCACAACATTTGGAGATTAAGAAGCTGGAAAGCTGCCGTGGCTCTTATCTCTGGTGTGGTGTTGATGGTGGCGCTGACAAGGTTATGTTTTAAGAAGAGGATAACTCGTGAGGATTGCCCGCGCAACCAATCGCCCAGTTTGGATGCAGTAGATCCCGTGTTTGAAACGGTGTTTCTGGCTCAAAGTCATCTTAAAGTCGCACCGCCACCACCTCCAACCCCACGGATAGGGCGTTGCCTAACTAGTCGGAATGGGACGGTTTATCTGCATCCTTAACAATTAATTCTCCAACTAATTCTTACTTGTGCATCGAGGAAAATACTTGACTACTAACTTTCAACTCAACCAATTTTTTGTCTTAAGCAATGTCATTATCAATTTATCGCAAGGTAAATCAACGCTCTCATTCTCTCCTGGAAGATCCACATAGATTACAGACAACCGCTGAAGTAAATAGAAATCATCTTTCGAATGAACAAAAAGCTAGGAAAACACCACATTCTTGCAGATGCAATTTCAGAAACAGAAAGAAACTATGCCAAACTCAGTCAAGATATGTCCCTCTTCAACATCTTAGATACTCATATACAATTTATTCGTAGTCAGTAACCTCACAGGTGGAAACAAGGTCCACACCGGAGCTCAGAACCAGAACAGGTATTTACGTCTACTACGTTATAAGACAAGAAAAATCTCACAACTTGAACTATGCTTTAACATGAATTGGCGAATGCCAGCAACAAGTGTAGGAGAGCTTTTTAGAGAACAACAACAAGAAGCAGCAGCCCTATCTAATTATCTAGATTTGTTTCATAGATACTGCAATTACAAAGCAGCATTATTTTGCCACTCAATCAGTTGTTAGCTAAATCATGCTACTCTGTGATTCTTCAACAAAGGAACTCAAAGAACTAATTATGGATTCATATACCTTTATCCCCCTCAAGAAGACTTTATCCTCCAAAAACTGCAAAAAAAATGTCATGGTAAATAGCAGTACTGCCAATTGACCAACACGGTCTACACAAACGGTTTGGCAAAAATCTCGCACCTCATTATGATCATGAAGCAGTATTGGAGTATTGATCATCGGAGAGAACCCGAGAGCAGGAATCCCCAGCTGTCGAATGAATCTTGCATCGGTAGTTGAAGATAAGATTTCAGGCTTTGCAAGCTTTCCTCCAGCTGCCGCAACAGCATGATTAAAAGCAGACCACCAAAGGTTGGAATCATCTGTTCTAGTCATTAATGGGTGCCCCTTGTAGTCTCGAATAGGTCCTTTCTCAATAATCTGACATATAAGAGGATAAACATCTTCAATCAGCCATGCAATTAGTTTCATCCTCATGAGTATGAAATTTATGGATGACCCAAAAACTGTGTTTTATCACCATGAGTGTGTGTTTAAGCCCATATGACAAGTATTGTGCAATAGTTGATGAGAGTATAACACTACCTGTTACATGAAGGGGAAGGAGAATCAATTGTCCAAAAAGTTAATCCATTCTAAAACCCCCATAGAACCGAAGCAGAGTAAAACAGGAAACATGCTACAAAACTTGACAGTGCCAAGCAGGATTAAATTACCAGAACAATCATCGTGACTTTCAGTTCTAATACCAGCAAAGAGAATCCCTATTTAAAAGCAGGATAATCAGATTCTAAAAGCAATATTGTGTCCCTTTCCTTCGCGAATTCTGAAGTAGTAGTTACACAGCTTGCAAAGAGCAAGGATAAGCCAAAATGACAGCACATTGAGACATTATCGTTCATCCATTAATTGGCAACATAACCCTACTAGGTGAGAACTATAGGTTATACAGGTAGATAACTATAAATTATACAAGTAAGAAACTATAGGATCCAAAGCAGGAAATTCGGAAAAACATAACCTCACTTCTTAAGCCACTTGTGTATCGATACCTATATGTACACCAATTTTTCAGCAGTTGCCCATCGATAATGATTGATAACAAGTGATGCAGAAGATCTGCCGAAATTAGCTTGTTTCTCGGTTCACATCATAAGCATGTGCATGCCTCAACTTACGCAGAAAGCATGAAACATTGCATGATGAAAAATTTTGCACATCCATACACAATGTCATAATCTTGTGGCCTATTATCATCGATGTCTATTAATGAGCCTTTTTCTAGGATAAAAAGTTGAAAGCCGAAAATGGCAAAGGATGTTTTTCTCCTTGAGGAGTCTCATTGGTGTACTTCATTATCCTTTTACTGAAATTTGATTTCGGCTCCATATTTGATGGTATAACCGTGTCTACCTCAAGGCTCAACTGCAATTACTAATCAACCGGCTACAATAACTACTTGATTGCAAGTTTACAACCGTCAATCAACACCTTTCGTAACTATTCTTGCCAGGGTTTGACTGCAACTGCTCCCGCTATTTTTTATCCTTGCAGTTAATTTGATTTCAGCCAAATTTCGTGAGTCCATGTCAATGCTTCTTGACTCAACTGACATTGACTTGACCGACATTGACTCGGCTATCAGTCAGTGAATAAAAAGTGTTCCTGCCCTGTCGACTTAATTCTATTGGCTTCTTACAGTCAATGCTAGTGTTTAACCGTCGACTGTATTCACAGTCAGTATCAGATCAACATATGTTGGTCAACATACCATTTCTCCTTCCTTATTGACACCCAGATGTTCTATTAATCAATTAATACTCATAATCGGCTTTGACTTTTAGTCAATGAATCTGCTTTATCACTATGGCCCAACTTCAGAGATACCTCTTTGTCTCCATGGTTTTAGCACTTTCTCATTAACATTGACCTAAGTTAATATCATATTCAAAGCCATAATCAATATGCGGTAAATGGCATCTCTTATTAACTTAAGCTCTTTGAGATCATAGTTGACTATTTTAGGATGTTAACAGAAACATTTAAGGATCTAGCTTGTCTGCTTTTATATACATTGGGAATGAAAATATTTGTGTAGAAAACTGAATCCTGAGCAAAATAGGGGCAAGAAAGCTATTTTCACATACAGAGAAATAACTTTTAAAAGTTAAATAACTAAAGAATCTTGTCAATCTAGCAGACATACCGTGAAAAGCATTGAATAGTCTACCAGATTCAATTGAATATTTGAATAAGCACATTAGACTTCACCATGCTGCAGTAGGTAGCTTAGGCATAGTAGCAGGTGTGAAGACTATACCAATACGCAAGGCTTCCATCAAGCAGAAGCGGTATAATTGACAGATTGAGGAGAACATATATGATACTGCTGTCAGAGAAATATATGGCATCTTGGGCAATTGTTCAAGCGCCTAGTCTTTACTCTCATCTGCTTCCAGTTCTGACAATGGACAAACATCCTTGCAGGTGAAAATATAGATGAGTGTTTACCTGGTATGTCATATTCCTGATAGCCGGGGCCCATTCTTCAGCAATTCTTTTCTTCATAAGATCAGGGTCTGCAGTCGGAGGCAGACGGATGTCAAAGCCTGCCTCAGCCTCCGAAGGCTGCACATTCATGACAAAGCCCTGCATCCACGATCAGCTAGTCCATATCAGAGCATGTGCATAAGAAAACGGAACAATTAATTAAGATGAAGTCTGCCAATATTAACAAAAGAATGCACATGAAGCTCACAGTTGGCGAAGGAACTCCAGCTTTCATGTAGACGGGATTAACCGAAATGACTTCGGAGTTCGCCGCGATTCCGGCCTTGACCTTATCAAATTGGCTCTCCCTGAACTTGCTTATGGCTTCCACGCTCTTCATCAAATTCTCCATAGCACCATTGTCATACATCATCGATCCATGTCCGGGGGCTCCCTTAGCCTTAATCACCAGCCCCCAAGGTGACCGGTCAGCGTAGAAAACCCGAAACTCATCGGTAACAGATGCCTGCCCCTCATCCAATACGAACCCCACATTCAGTTCCTTAAACTCTTTGGATCCCAGGAACTTAGCCGCCCCATCGAGTCCGCCGATCTCCTCATCCGGCACATATGAGACGTGAATTGTACGAAGCGGTACAAAATTCTTCTCCTTAAGGTTCCTAATGGCCTCAATATACTGAATGGCGATGCACTTGTCATCTTGCGCCCCCCGAGCGAAGATCTTTCCATTGGAATCTCTGAAGGCAGAAAAGGGAGGATGAATCCACTTGGATGGCTCGGTGGGGACAGAGTCCATGTGGGAGTTGAAAAGGACGGAAGGAAGAGAAGGGTCCGAGCCTAACCAAGTCAAAAGCAAAACGGGCTTGTTTGGGACGAACTCTAGGATACGAGTTTGGAGGGAAATGGCCTGAGCCTGGTCCTTAAGAAACGAGACAGCTCCAGCATAGTCAGGGTTAGGGTGGGCTGTGTTGATCCTGAGGTAGTGCTGGAACCGCGAAATCGGCGCATCGATGTCTTCTTCTCGAGGCTCAGTCAGGGTCGAGAAAAGAAGAGGGAATGCAAAGAGTGCCAATAAGAAGACTGAGTTCAGATGGTTAACGGCCATTGGGACCAACAATATGTGGATTCACTGGAGAATTCAGTCGCAACAAGATTTTTCAAATCCTAAAAAATTCACCGAAGCCTACGTCCAGAGAGAACTGAAAATATTCGCACCTATTGGGGACAGGGATTTCACCTGCTATGAACCAGAAACATTGCTTGATTCAGACAGCCGAAACCCGCACAAGTTGGAGCTTTTAGCATGTAATGAGAAACAAGTAGCTGCCACACTGTTGAGTAATTCAAGCACACTAACACAACAAGCACATGCAGTGACAGACTACAAGCGTTGACCGTTTCCAATCGCAGCCAACAGAGAAACTAAAGAAAACCCATCAAGCACCATGGCCGTGAAGTGCCCGGGCTACCCGTATGAAGACACGCTTGAACTAGTCTTCGTGCAGGCAGCGATGGGAAGAACCGATTACATCAAAATCCAGTCTTGACGAATCAAGAAGGGGGGGCAAGATGAACACCAAGACGCAGGCAAAGAGAGAGAGAGAGAGAGAGAGAGGGAGGGACACCTGCTGCCGGTGAATATGGGCACCGTCGGAGAATCAAGCGACGACGTCGGAACGGCCGGTTCGGACGGAGGAAAACCTTCGGTCTCGGAGGCGAGTTCGGTGGAGCTCAGCGAACGAGCGCTTCTTTCAAATGTACACCACCGAAATCGGGTGCGCCGCACCGCACGCGCCAGTAAACGCCGCCGGCCAGTTAAGGAACGACACGTGCGAACGACAGTAGGCGCGTGAGGGCGACGTCCTGTCTCGTTTTATTACCAAACAACGCTAACCAAAAACCGAACCTTGACGGAAGCGAGAGCAGAGGAAGACGCAACCGGGAACAGTTGCCAGAGCTCCGTAGATCTGCTTCGCCTGCTCCAGAATCAACCCCTGATTCCTCTTCTTCTTCTTCTTCTTCTTCAGTGGCCGCGTCTCTCTCCAGCAATGGCGGAGAGGCGCGCCGGAGCGGCGGTTCTGTTAGCAGCTTTCTTGCTGTTGAGCTGCTGCAGCGTGCGTCTCGTGCCGGTGGCGGAAGCTGTGTGGCTGACGATCCCGAGCTCCGGGACCAAGTGCGTCTCCGAGGAGATCCAGAGCAACGTCGTCGTGTTGGCCGATTACTACATCGTCGACGACGAGCACGCTCACCTCCACACCCCCACTATTTCTTCTCGGGTTGCTCTCTCTCCCTCTCTCTCTGTCTCACACACAAACGCGCACGCATCGCATTCAGATAGAAAGGGAAGGTTTTTGAGTGACTTAGAACTCGAATTATGCAGAGTGGCTGTTTTGTTTGATAGCTAGCTTCAAATCGAAGCATATGCTTGCTGTCTTGTTTCTTTTGCACTGAGTCTTGATGTGAATCTATGCCTATGCCTGAGCCAACGCAATATTGTGTTGGACACACCGATTGGAAATGGATCTTACTATATAATTAGACAAATCTATTCTTCTCCGAAGTTCGCCGACTGGATTGTCTTCGACATTTTCCTTTTTTGTCTTCTTTGATTGTCTCGCTCTGGTGCTTAGTTCACTATATTGTTTGATAGCGGATGATTCATCTAATTTTTTTTCTTTCCACGTCTGCTGGGATGAATCTTTCTCCTTGAGTAGGTCTAGGAGGGATCACTTATGTTCTGTTGTACTGGGGCATTTGACTTGAACACATCAGTTCTTATTGTTGGTGCTTCCAACTTTTCCTTAGTGACCGCTTACCCGAATCAATACTCTCAGGGTTTAAACTGGCCTTCTCTTAATTTCAAACATAACACCCCACAAACCCACCCCGCCCCCGCCCCCCAACACCATTTAATTGTGAACATGCCAATAAGTATGGGGGGTTTGGTAGTTAGATCTTGTGCCATTTTAATGTGGCCTTTTCATGGGATATTTGTGGAGACTATCAGAGAAAACCAAAATATAAAATTCTTCTATGGGGCATGTCATAGCTTCAAGGTATGGTACAAGGGATGGAATTTGATCTGGGAGGGATCCTAATAGAGTGGAAGTTCAGAGATGGATCTACTAGGCTTGGGATCCTTTCATGAGAGAGATATTCTTTTGATCCATGGTTGGAGGCATTTCTTTCTTAGGCAGGACAGATAGTGCTCATCAGTCAAACTCTAGAAGTTCAATTTTGGAGCTATCTATAATTGCAACTGAAAAGTAGGCGACGGACACGTACTGTTTCTCCTTGGCTGAGCCTGAGGGAGGGGTAGATAATTTAGGTTGTTGAGTTTGTTTTAATCTTTAATGATTGGGAATTGCAGTAGGCAGGAGGCTGAACACATCAAACAATAGAAAACTAGCCGTGCTTGTGCATATCTGACTACAGTTTTCCCGTTAGAAAATCGATGTAGTGTTTCCTTTTGGGTGCCAAATAAATTACTCAAAGTAGCATTTCTTGAGTAAGAATTTTTTATTTTGGGCCTTAAGATTTGTAAGGACTTGGGTTGTGCTGCTGAGCAAAACGATTTCCCCAGATGTAAGAGTTATATACTAGAGAATTATTCTCACATTTCCTGTGTGTACTGGATACAACTGTAATTTATGGTGTTACAGATTTCAATTGAGTTTCAATGAGGCATTGTTTCTGTAGCGTTAGAATGTTACACATACCCTGCTAAAGTTGTTGCAGAAGTATACTGCAGAATCAGAAATACTTGATTCAGAAAACCATGATAAAATAGGTGACTGTCCTCTCCCTCATCATATATAGGCAGGCAAGCAAGCTCAGCTACGCTGCTTTATATACTCATCGTATCCTTTTTCAGTGCCAACGGTCACATTCTACCTCGAGACCAAGGATATTCAAGCTTTGCAACAACTTTTGGTTCCTATAGCACTTGATAGATATGACAATATAATTTGTTTTTTGAAAAACTAGTTTGTGGTTTGATATAAGCACGTTGATGTATTTTACATGCTAGAAATGGTAAGACCATTTGTTTCTTAAAGAGTTCTGTGCCAACATCACTAAAACAGACCTTCTCAATATCGTGTTTTGAATAACCAACTTGTTTAACCAAGCCTGCTGATTTCCAGTTCTTGAATAAGCAAAGCAGGCGTAAAAGCGCCTATTTAAGTCTGTTAAGAATAGGAAACATTGTCATAGTAAATGTGTATACTAACACTATAATCTGTTGCACTCTTGGGTTTCCTATTCTGTAACATGTCAATATAGTATAAATACACGTGTGGTCTACATGATACACACGGTTTTTCTCTCCAATTGGATCTCTAATTCTCACAAAGTCCATATATTTGCACTTTCTCCAATAGACATGGTTTTTCTGGAGCTAATGTAAACCAATTCCTCTCTTTCCCCATCTTCCAGGTGACATCTCCTTATGGAAACAATCTTCACCACAATGAAAATGTGACCCATGGTCAGTTTGCATTTACAACCTCTGAGGCCGGGAACTACTTGGCATGTTTCTGGATTGGTGGAAAACATCAAGAAGATGTTGGATTGACAATTGGCCTTGACTGGAAAATTGGAATCGCAGCTAAGGATTGGGAGTCAGTTGCTAAAAAGGAAAAGCTCCAGGTCAAATAAGTGAAATATTATACTTATCTCTGTCTTTCGGAGATTGGTTTAATCCTTTATTTTCTTTCATGACATGTTCACCCTATAACCTGTAGGGCATGGAACTGGAGTTGATGAAACTTGAAGGGGCTGTGCAAGCCATACATGACAATCTGAAATATTTGAAAAACAGGTAATTTGCTTTCTCTACCGGATATTTATGAGATAAATGAGTGATTTCTCTCTTGCTTGGTTGCATTTCTGTTGTACTAGCCTCGGGTCCTTAAAGCTCAACATTATAAAGAACATGGTTATAGGATCAGAAGAGGGTAGAGCATCTATAACGAGAATATGATCATACCTTAACTATCGAGTTTCTCCTTTCTTTGTTGTGTGAAAATAATCAAATTTTGACTTATTTTAATATTTCTTTGTATTGGCTACATGTCTAGGGAAGAAGAAATGAGGGAAGTAAGTGAAAAAACCAACGCCAGAGTTGCATGGTCCAGTTTAATGTCCCTTGGCGTCTGTATTGTGGTTTCAGTTTTGCAGTTGTGGCACTTGAGGCGATATTTCGAGAGGAAGAAGCTTATCTAGATCCTGAGTTTCGTCTTGTATGGCTCACAAATGTTCTAAAGTGAACACGAACTGAAGGGTTCCTGTGCCTTTTGCATAGAGTTTTACGTTGAATGTTAGGAAGAATATTAGGATTCTTCTTCTCAACAAATCTGGTTTTGGGTAGGATGGGCTACAATAGATATCATATCCCGTGCTAGTTTTAGAATGCACAGCAAATTACGTGGATAGAATGATAAAATTATCAACACTCACCGCAGAAAGCATCAGTGCATCAGAATCTGTAAAATTGTTTATCACACAGGACAAAGCTATATTTTCTTCCTGATTTTGCAATTGTAAGCTCAACATATTCCCAATCAGCTCCCTCATTCCCAGATAGGAATTGTTGGTTGTGGAATATGAATGTTCTGCTTTCTTTCTTTCATATGCTAAACGTTTTATTAAATGTAAATCCTTCTACAGACTCTCACTTCGCGATCTGTTGTACAAACATTCTAACTAAGAACAGTGCACAACTGCATAAAAGTGTGGAGTGTCCATTAGCTGCAACAATTCACTTCAGGGCTGTCCTTTTCTTCCGGGTTTTCTATGTCTTCCAGAAGTGGTTTCTGGTCGAAAAAATTGATATATTCTAATCCTGCGGATAACGTCGCATTTACGGAACCTACTGAGATTGCTATTATGCTGTACTGTTCCTAATCGGTTTTCATTCAAAGGTTCGCATCTTGCAACTATGTCTAGTTACAGTGAGCTAAATGGACAAAAGCGAAATATTACTGAATATAACTAGCTTTGCCAGTCAAGTTTTCAGATGATGTGGAGGGATACACATGCCTGACCATTAGTTTCTTGGACAAGAACATTAATGTCTTCCCATGTTAACACCGGTCATTCGGAATCACAGACAAGTATTTACTCGGAGACACGCGTGAATCTTTGGCCCTCTTCTAGGAAAAAGAAGAAGCTGCTTTTGACACGATAATGCGCATTTCTTTTCCTTTCTTTTTTTCCCTTCTTCTTTTTTCGGCCGAGCCAAAGGGCATCATGCACTCGAATAACAACGGTACATCGTCTTAAGTCGCTCGTATTACAAAGAATCATTGGCGCAGTCCTTCAAGATTCGAGCGCCATTGCCTTGACCAGAAAAGAAATAATAAGAACAGGATCCGCATTATCGCATCGTGGAGCTAAAAGCAGATGTTGCGCAAGCATGCACTTAGCTTTGCGTGGGGCTTGCACTCCAATCTTTCGAGATAATTGTTTAAAAAGCCCTAAACCTATCAAACAACAGCCAATTCAGTCCTAAACATTTCAATTGTGCTAATACAGTCTTAAACCTTTTGACGATTTGTCAGTTTAGTCCTAAACATTTTGAAGATTTGTCAATTTAGTCATACACCTATTATTTGGATGTTTCGCTAAAATGATCACATTGACAAATCGTCAAAATGTTTAGGGCCAAATTGACAAATTATCAAAAGGTTTAGGACTAAATTGGCATAATTGAAAGATTAATGACTAAATTAGCAAATAGTCAAATGATTTAGGACTAAACTAGCGCAATTGAAAGGTTCGTGATTGAATTGGCCTCCATACAATAGGCTTATGACTTTTTAGACAATTTTCGTCCATTTGTCTTGGTTTCGATGTTAGAAGACGAACAAATATTGCAGTAGTGATCGTCGCTCTCCATCAGGAGAAGACATGATTGTGTTGAACCAAAAACCCTACTCTCCTGCTCGTAAATGGACGTGATTCCAGGAACTAGTTTGCGTTAAAAAAGCTGTCCAAATAATTCGCAAGCAAAATCAGTAACTTCAAAGTGTTCATGTCTAACGTACTTGTTCAGACAATCCATGCAAACCGATTTTGCGGGGCTCTCCCTTCTGTCCGATTAGACTACGAGGCCTTCTTGTCCTCGCGGCGGCTTTTCTTGTTACCAAACATATCTCGCGGAAAAGAAGAATCGCAACGTCGTTACCATCGTCGTCATCGCTATCTCATAAAGGAGGTAACCCCATATAAGCTGTGCTTGACATAAAAGGAAGTCATCCAGTCGAGCACGACGCTTGGCCTGTACTTCTCATTGCAGTGATAATGCTTTTGATGGGATGTCGTGGGCACACTGCGGTCGCATCTTACGTTAATCACCACGAATTATTTTAATGAAAGAGGAACAGAGTGGATGAATTACCGTGCCATGTTATGTTTTATTAAACATACAAGGGCAACATCACGCCACCTGTCGACGTCGTGCTTGCTGAATGAGAGGCAATTAAGCCATGGAACGCAAACATGGACTCCAAAACGAGACGTCACCGGGTGCATCAAGGAACAATCTACTCGAGTGCCGTCGAGCCCGATTCACACTACCCGTGTTGAAGTACTATCTCACATCGCTTGACAATGAGTCGTAAATATTCTTTATCTTCATATGGTCTCTCTCCACTTGTTAACTTAAGATTTTAAATTGGACATTTTAACCTGGTATCTCTTTATATTTATGAGGTCTCCCTCCACCTATCTGCAGCGTTGTGAAAATTGGCGTCTACGAGTTCTGTGTTACCTTCGTTAAAGCTGTGTGATTTGCTTCACTCAAATTGGACGATTAATCGGTGGGCATAGACACAGTGATCCATTCAGGAGGCCATGGTTTTGTGGAATTCTGCTATTTGAAAACTAGGTTAAATCATTTCACGTGCACTTACTAATTGTTTGTTTAAACTTTTTCTGTTGCGTAAACTTACTTTTATAGCGAAGCTGTATGGACTTTGGAGACTAGAAACAGGGTGAGATCGCCACTCAGATCTTCCAATGTAGATAAAACTCACAAAGAAGTGCAACTTGGCCTGCTTTGACTAAGATTTCATCCTCTTACTCCAATGGGCTCTTAATTAACCAGTGATTAATCAATTAATGAGTAATATTTTCGTTCCGCGATCCCCCTCCGTGGCAATCTGTCATTGGCCTATCGAGGTTATCGACATTTGGTTTTATCTACGCAACAGCTAATCACAGTCCCTCACGTAATCTACTAGTCAACAGGAGCTAGTTTAGATCACAAGCAATCTTTTCTTTATCTTGATGAATACTCTATAATTATCATGTCGCGACGAGGATAGTATCATAAACTCCATGACAAAAAAGAGAGATTCCCCTTCTTCAACCTCCATGCTGATGCAATAATAGAGCTCACTCAAAGGGATGAGCATTGGCCTCGAGTGCAGGAGGACATGGCAAAGCACTGGATTCTGCAATTGTCGTACACCACAATTCTGTCGAATTCTTCCTCTTTAGATTAAAAACCATTTTCCAGAGTTAAGAAAACTACTTTTTATAAATAAAAAAAAAGATAATGAGTATTTTCTTTCCTTTCTTTTTCTTAATTATTTTATATAGTTATAGCTACTGCTCGAGCAAATTGTAATGTTATTGCATGATTGCTTCCTTTTGATGTATTTTATTCTTAGTGTAAAGCTGAGTGGACTGATCCACCTTCTAGGGAGTATTGCGCTGTCGGAGAAACTTCCAACAAGATGATCTTTTTATGAAAAAATAATTTGGCCCCAAAAGTAGTAAAATAAAAATTTATATATAAAAACTTTTGGCGATTATGTTATTTGTATCCTAGGTCAAAAGCTTGACCTCATTTCATTTATCTCAATGTTCTTTCCTCTTCTTCCAAACGATGAAAAGTTTCGACTTCTCTTTTCTTTTTCGCCACAAGAAAAGTTCAATCAAATTTTGTTTCCACATGAAAGGTTGGACTTCACTCGCTTAGCCTTACATAATTTCCAATGCTATTATTTTAGTGGCCGTTAAATTCATTGTGACACCCGAAATCCCACGTCGGAAGGGCGAGATTTTTATACTAACGAGTAAGATCCACCCTCAAATAGCCATCTTCTTGTGTGGTTATTTTGAACGGATTTGGCCCTCGTGATATCGATTGGTTGGTATCAGGAAAGGACATTCTCTAGTAAGTGTGTTGTGCTTAGACAGACTAAGCCCATAGCCAATGTGATGAAGGCACAGGAATGAGGGCTCGAAAAGAATGCAAATCCTAATGGGATTCTGAGTTGGCAGATGGGGCAAAGATGAAAAGGACCGCACATCTAATAGGGTGATTATCGCCGGGCAGTACAACCAACACCAATGACGACGTCAATGGTTTAAATGGAGACACTCGAAGTCCTACATCGAATAGGCATGATATTGTAATATCACTCACGAGTAATTAAGATCTATCATCAATGGCCACCACCTTGCGTGTCTACTTGGTGTACTCCTTTTGAGATTAAGCTCACAAGAAATATGTAGAATCGTTACTCACACCATGTGGTAATTCAATGCCATACACCATAACATTTACAGGAAAGTACCAAAAAAGTCATAAACCTATTATTGCATTGGTACAAATTCAGTCATAAATCTTTCAATTAGGCAAATTTAATCCTAAGCCTTTTTCACATTGGTATCAATTTAGTCCATCCGGCCAATTTAAGTCGAAATCACTAATGTGGATGCCAGCGGTCTTATGTGGCACGGCCGGCACTGACATATATATTTTTTAATAATTTTTTCATTTTTTTATTTCTCTTCTCTTTCTGCCAGTGGCCGGTCACCGGCTACAAGCCATGGCCAGCAAGGGTCGACCTCACCGAGCTGCACCTAGGTGAGGGCGAGCGCCAACAAGGCCCCCCTCGCTCAGGCTGCACCCGGCAAGACTGCCCTGGCTTGGGTGAGGGTCGACCTTGCCAGATTTGGCGAGGGGGGCCTCGCCGATGCTCGCCCTCGCCTAGGCACAACCTTGCAAGGCCAACCCTCGCCTGTGGTGGGATAGGGCAACCCTTGCCAGCCGCCGGCAAAAAGAAAATGGAAAAAAAAAAGAAAAAAAATTATATAAAAAAAATGTCCACAGCAACTCCAGTTGTGCCACGTAGAACAACTAGCAACCACGTCGGGAATTTAGGATTACATTGGAGAAAGCAAACGTGCCGCGAGTAAACCTGTCCATGTCAGCATGTCACATAAGACGGACTGCGACGACCGGACGCAACGTTAGCAATTTCAAGCGGCAATTAATCGGAATGACTACAGTGAAATTTCACGCAAAAGGTGTAGGATTACACCAGCATAATTAAAAAGTTTAGAATTGAATTGACATCCGCATAAAAGGTTTATGACTGATTTGATGATAATCCCTTGAATTTTGTTGGTAAATAAACCTGGACCGTTGCTCTTGGAAACTCATTCCCCCAACTCATCATTGCTAACACTTGAAAGGCTTTTTGGACCTCATAAAACCATTTTTAAATATTACGAAGCGCCAAAAAGGGAGCACTCATCAGAAGGTAATGCATTGGTGACCAAAGCAAGCATTAGGAGGAGCATTTCGCAATGAACTTCTAAGAAAATAGATAACCATGCACGAATTGTTTGCATTGCCTCTTTTTTTCCCCTCTATAAGGAGGCACTCCAATTGCCTCTCCATTCGCACACAAAATCGAGCGAGCGAGAGAGATGGGCGGCGAGAGCTTGAGCGTGTGTTGTGGAGCGTTTAATAAGGTGAAGCCGTACTTGTTAATGGTGGGGCTGCAGTTCGGCTCGGCCGGGACGTACGTGATAAGCGCACAGACCCTAAAGAACGGCATGAGCCGATACGTCCTCATTGTGTACCGCAACGCCATTGCTGCTTTGGGGCAACGCATTCTAAATACTTTTTATATTTATGCGGTCTCCCTTCACCTATCCGTCATTTCGGTCCTCGCATTAAGTAGATTTCGCGACAGACCCGCCTATCAAACAGCACATGTGAAAATTGGCAATTGGCACGCTCACATGATACTAACAAACGACCAATTCGACGAGTTCTCGGCTACCTTCGTTAAAGTTGTGTGATTTGCTTCACTCAATTTGGACGATTCATCGGGGGGGTATAGACACATGGTCCATTTAGGAGGTCATGGTTTTGTGGAATTCTGCTATTTGAGACATCACCGGGTGCATCAAGGAACTACTATGCGAGTTCTGTCGAGCCTAATTCACACACTCACTGTCGGGTTAGATTGGTTCTTGGAACAGGTAGGTCCTACAGAAGGCCCACCTTATCTGACAGTGTATGTGAAAATCGGCGGGCTTGCATATACCAATGGACGACCACGAGTTCTCGTTTAGCTTCACTAAAACTGGACGACTAATCAGTGGGCATAGAGACATGATCCATTCAGGAGGTCATGGTTTTGTAGAATTCTGCTATTTGAAAACTAGGTTAAATCACCTCACGTGCACTCATTAATTGTTTGTCCAAGCTCTTTTTTGTTGCATAAACTTACTTTTATAGCGAAGCTGTATGGACTTTGGAGACTAGAAAGAGGGTGAGATCGCCACTCAGATCTTCCAATGTCGATAAAACTCACAAAGAAGTGCAACTCGGCCTGCATTGACCAAGATTTCATCCTCTTACTCCAATGGGCTCTAATTGACCAGTGATTAATCAATTAATGAGTAATATTTTCGCTCCGCGATCCCCCTCCGTGGCGATCTATCATTGGCCGGTCAAGCCTGTCGACGTTCAGTTTTATCTACGCAACAGCCGATCACGGTCCCCACGTAATCTACTAGTCAACAGGAGCTAGTTTAGATCACAAGCAATCTTTTCTTTATCTTGATGAATACTCTATAATTATCATGTCGCGACGAGGATAGTATCACAAAAACCATAACAAAAAAAAGAGATTCCCCTTCTTCAACCTCCATGCTAATGCAATAATAGAGCTCACTCAAAGGGATGAGCATTGGCCTCGAGTGCAGGAGGACATGGCAAAGCACTGGGTTCTGCAATTTTCGTACACCACAATTCTGTCGAATTCTTCCTCTTTAGATTAAAAACCATTTTCCAGATTTAAGAAAACTACTTTTTATAAATAAAAAAAAGAGAATGAGTATTTTCTTTCCTTTCTTTTTCTTAATTATTTTATATAGTTATAGCTACTGCTCGAGCAAATTGTAATGTTATTGCATGATTGCTTCCTTTTGATGTATTTTATTCTTAGTGTAAAGCTGAATGGACTGATCCACCTTCTAGGGAGTATTGCGCTGTCGGAGAAACTTCCAACGAGATGATCTTTTTATGAAAAAATAATTTGGCCCCAAAAGTAGTAAAATAAAAAAATATATATATAAAAACTTTTGGCGATTATGTTATTTGTATCCTAGGTTAAAAGCTTGACCTCATTTCATTTATCTCAATGTTTTTCCTCTTCTTCCAAACGACGAAAAGTTTCGACTTCTCTTTTCTTTTTCGCCACAGGAAAAGTTCAATCAAATTTTGTTTCCACATGAAAGGTTGGACTTCACTCGCTTAGCCTTACATAATTTCCAATGCTATTATTTTAATGGCCATTAAATTTACTGTGACGCCCGAAATCCCACGTCGGAAGGGCGAGATTTTTATACTAACGAGTAAGATCCACCCTCAAATAGCCATCTTCTTGTATGGTTATTTTGAACGGATTTGGCCCTCGTGATATCGATTGGTTGGTATCAGGAAAGGACATTCTCTAGTAAGTGTGTTGTGCTTAGACAGACTAAGCCCATAGCCAATGCGATGAAGGCACGGGAATGAGGGCTCGAAAAAAATGCAAATCCTAATGGGATTCTGAGTTGGCAGATGGGGCAAAAATGAAAAGGACCGCACATCTAATAGGGTGATTATCGCCGGGCAGTACAACCAACACCAATGACGACGTCAATGGTTTAAATGGAGACACTCGAAGTCCTACATCGAATAGGCGTGATTCACTCACGAGTAAGATCTATCATCAATGGCCACCACCTTTCGTGTCTACTTGGTGTACTCCTTTTGAGATTAAGCTCACAAGAAATATGTAGAATCGTTACTCACACCATGTGACAATTCAATGCCATACACCATAACATTTACAGGAAAGTACCAAAAAAGTCATAAACCTATTATTGCATTGGTACAAATTCAGTCATAAATCTTTTAATTAGGCAAATTTAATCTTAAGCCTTTTTCACATTGGTATCAATTTATTCCATCCAGCCAATTTAAGTCGAAATCACTAATGTAGATGCTGGCGGTCTTATGTGGCACGGCCGGCACTGACATATATATTTTTTAATATTTATTTCATTTTTTTTATTCCTCTTCTCTTTTTACCAGTGGCCGGTCACCGGCTACAAGCCATGGCCAACAAGAGTCGACCTCACCGAGTTGCACCTAGGTGAGGGCGAGTGCCAACAAGGCCCCCCTCGCTCAGGCTGCACCCGGCAAGACTGCCCTGGTTTGGGTGAGGGTCGACCTTGCCAGATTTGGCGAGGGGGGCCTCGCCGATGCTCGCCCTCGCCTAGGCACAACCTTGCAAGGCCGACCCTCGCCTGTGGTGGGATAGGGCAACCCTTGCCGGCCGCCGGCAAAAAGAAAATGAAAAAAAAAATTATATAAAAAAAATGTCCACAGCAACTCTAGTCGTGCCACGTAGAACAACTGGCAACCACGTCAGTAATTTAGGATTACATTGGAGAAAGCTAACGTGGCGCGAGTAAACCTGTCCATGTCAGCATGTCACGTAAGACGGACTGCGACGACCGGACGCAACGTTAGCAATTTCAAGCGGCAATTAATCAGAATGACTACAGTGAAATTTCGGGCAAAAGGTTTAGGATTACATCAGCAAAATTAAAAAGTTTAGAACTGAATTGACATCCGCATAAAAGGTTTATGACTGATTGGATGATAATCCCGTGAATTTTGTTGGTAAATAAACCTTGACCGTTGCTCTTGGAAACTCATTCCCCCAACTCATCATTCAATTCACCCGCTAACACTTGAAAGGCTTTTTGGACCTCATAAAACCATTTTTAAATATTACGAAGCGCCAAAAAGGGAGCACTCATCAGAAGGTAATGCATTGGTGACCAAAGCAAGCATTAGGAGGAGCATTTCGCAATGAACTTCTAAGAAAATAGATAACCATGCACGAATTGTTTGCATTGCCTCTCTTTTTTCCCCTCTATAAGGAGGCACTCCAATTGCCTCTCCATTCGCACACAAAATCGAGCGAGCGAGAGAGATGGGCGGCGAGAGCATGAGCGTTTGTTGTGGAGCGTTTAATAAGGTGAAGCCGTACTTGTTAATGGTGGGGCTGCAGTTCGGCTCGGCCGGGACGTACGTGATAAGCGCACAGACCCTAAAGAATGGCATGAGCCGATACGTCCTCATCGTGTACCGCAACGCCATTGCTGCTTTGGTGCTCGCTCCCTTTGCTCTTGTCCTCGAAAGGTCCCTTCTCTCCCCTAAGTATTGTCTAGACTGTTTGGCCGAACGAAGTCGATCACATGTCAAGAAATTACGAAGTTGCATTTTACTCTATTGAACTTAGGGAGACAGATGATCAGGACTTGAGCTAGTGGAAGGGTTATGAATCCATGCCATGCTTTTACTTTTGAAAGATTCTTGCCTTTCAAATGGACTGAGCCGATGGTGAGATGCAATAGGATGTTGACAATGACAATCTCGTTTATCTGTGACAGGAAGATCAGACCGAAGATGACACTCTCGATTTTCTTGCAGATTGTGGTGTTGGGATTTCTCGAGTAAGTTTCGTAAAATCCTTGTGCTTCGGCGAAACTAAATTGACCAATTTCATCGCTCGCCTAAGGACTTTAATAGGGCATAAGTAAAATGCATATCAAAGTTAGGTCATCTACACATGCCAAAGGCCTAGACTTAACTATTTCATGTGACTTGCAAAGCATTCCAAGTTCCTCCTATAATCGAACCAATGTGAACCAAAGTTAGCTGATTATGCAATTTTGCACATCACAGGCCGATCCTTGATCAGAACTTTTCATATTTGGGGATAACGTATACGTCGGCATCGTTCGCGTCCGCAATTATGAATGCGGTTCCATCAGTTACTTTTGTCATGGCCATTATGCTCCGGTGAGATGATTTTTTCGTGTTCAATCTCAAATCACCTAATTATGCTCGTTTACTAACGGACACACATATAATAACTAACTAAACGACCATAATAAAGACGAATATATTGGTAAATAGAAGAATCATCCAAGCAAGTTATGAAACCGGATTAAAATTCGAATGTTACGTAATCACGAGAGATACTAAGAATTGGCGACATCTTATTGTGATTAATTAGATTAGAGCGAGTCAAAATCAAGGAGGTGCGTGGGAACGCGAAGATCGTCGGGACGATTGTGACGTTCCTTGGCACACTGGTGATGACACTATACAAAGGCCCTTCGTTCCACCTGATTCGGTCCGCCGGCACGGCACAAAGCGGAACCGTCACCGACCCGTCCAACAAGCATTGGGTCGCCGGCACACTTTTCATCTTGATCGGCTGTTGTGCCTGGTCCGCCTTCTTCAACCTTCAAGTAAGAGTCTTCATGCTCTTCTCAGAACTCGAATCGAATCGCCCCCACAAAATGACATAAATCGAGACTTGAAGATCGTTCTTTCTTCTTCTTCTTCCTTTATCGATTTCTCAGTCTATCACGGTGAAGAAGTACCCAGCAGAGCTGTCGCTGTCGTCGTTGATATGCTTGATGGGGGCGATGCAGAGCGCGGCGGTGGCGCTCGTGGCGGAGCGTCACCCAGATGCGTGGAGAGTCGGGTGGGACTCTCGGCTTCTTGCTCCCGTTTACAGCGTAAGTCGCGAGGGTGTCTCTGTGCATGGTAAAATCTTCCATTTGAAATCAACTTAACTTACATCTTCGTATGTTTCAGGGCGCAGTTAGCTCCGGAATCACGTACTACGTGCAAGGCATAGTGATGAAGACGAGGGGTCCCGTGTTCGTCACGGCCTTCAACCCTCTGTGCATGATCATCGTCGCCGCCCTCAGTTCCATCATCTTGTCCGAGAAGCTCTACCTCGGAAGGTAATAATGCCCTCTCTTCTCTCTACTCTTCTTGACTTCTAACGTCTGAAATTCAAATCTGTTATTTGGGATTTCATTTCTATGTCAATTCGACGAGCAGCATCATCGGAGGAATCGTCATCGCGATTGGTCTCTACTCAGTGGTGTGGGGCAAGGCCAAAGACTACTCGATGACCCCATCGCAAGAATGTGTCGACCGGAAAGCCGAAACCCAGAAGCTGCCAGTCACTGTGGCGAATGGGGTTGCTGCTGTTGATCAAGATGGTATCAGAAAATGACTTGATGTTCACTAGTGCTTGGATGTACGTAAAGTTCCAATTGCTCTGATGTTTCGATGTAAGGCACAGTGGGAATTGTTGCTGTATGATCAAGTTTGCAGGGCGGAGAAAATATTTTGTAGGACTATCTCGCCACGTCATCGCTGAGACAGTCCATTAGGTGTGCGACATGTGTCAAAGCGGGTCCCACCTCTCAAGGGATTTTGAAAATTCCCTCCCATCTCTGTCTCCGTTGGCTCTGTTAACGCTTGCTCTCTCTCTCCCTCCTCCCGAGAAGGAGCTCTCTCTCTCCCCATCACTCTTCACGTCACAAGCACAAACAAAAGCTTCACGAACAGAAGCTTTGCGCAAGAAAATATTGTGTAGGATTGTCTCGCCACGTCATCATTGAGACAATCCATTAGGTTTGCGACATGGGTCAAAGCGGATCTCACTTGTCAGGGGATTTTGAAAATTCCCTCCCATCTCTGTCTCCATTAGCTCCGTTAACGCTTGCTGAGCAAAATGATTTCCCACAGATGTAAAAGTTATATACTAGAGAATTATTCTCACATTTCCTGTGTGTACAGGATACAATTGTAATTTAGGGAGTTAGAGATTTCAGTTGAGTTTCAATGAGGCATTGTTTCCGTAGCATTAGAATATTACACATACCCTGCTAAAGTTGTTGCAGAAGTATACTGCAGAATCAGAAATTAATACTTGATCCAGAAAACCATGATAAAATGGGCGACTGTTTGTCCTCTCCCTCATTATATATAGGCGGGCAAGCAACCTCAGCTACACTGCTTTATATACTCATCATATCCCTTTTCAGTGCCACTAACGGTCACATTCTACCTCGACACCAAGGATATTCTAGCTTTGCAACAACTTTTGGTTCCTATAGCGCTTGATAGATATGACAATATAATTTTTTTTTTAAAAACTATTTTGTGGTTTGATATAAGCACGTTGATGTATTTTACATGCTAGAAATGGTAAGACCATTTCTTTCTTGAAGATTTCTGTGTCAACATCACTAAAATAGACCTTCTCAATATCGTGTTCGAATAACTAACTTGTTTAACCAAGCCGGCTGATTACCAGTTCTTGAATAAGCAAAGCTGGCATAAAAGCGCCTATTTAAGTCTGCTAGGAATAGGAAACATTGTCATAGTAGATGTGTATACCAATACTATAATATGTTGTAATCTTGGGTTTCCTATACTGTAACATGTCAATAAAGTATAAATACATGTGTGGTCTACATGATACACACGGTTTTTCTCTCCAATCCGATCTCTAATTCTCACAAAGTCCATATATTTGCACGTTCTCCAATAGACATGGTTTTTCTCGAGCTAATGTAAGCCAATTCCTCTCTTTCCCCCATCTTCCAGGTGACATCTCCTTATGGAAACAATCTTCACCACAATGAAAATGTGACCCATGGTCAGTTTGCATTTACAACCTCTGAGGCCGGGAACTACTTGGCATGTTTCTGGATTGGTAGAAAACATCAAGAAGATGTTGGATTGACAATTGGCCTTGACTGGAAAATTGGAATCGCAGCTAAGGATTGGGAGTCAGTTGCTAAAAAGGAAAAGCTCCAGGTCAAATATGTGAAATATTATACTTATCTCTGTGTTTCGGAGATTAGTTTAATCCTCTATTTTCTTTCATGACATGTTCACCCTATAACCTGTAGGGCATGGAACTGGAGTTGATGAAACTTGAAGGGGCTGTGCAAGCCATACATGACAATCTGAAATATTTGAAAAACAGGTAATTTGCTTTCTCTACAGGATATTAATGAGATAAATGAGTGATTTCTCTCTTGCTCGGTTGCATTTCTGTTGTACTTGCCTCGAGTCCTTAAAGCTCAACATTATAAAGAACACGGTTATAGGATCAGAAGAGGGTAGAGCATCTATAACGAGAATATGATCAAACCTTAACTATTGAGTTTCTCCTTTCTTTGTTGTGTGAAAATAATTAAGCTTTGACTTATTTTAATATTTCTTTGTATTGGCTACATGTCTAGGGAAGAAGAAATGAGGGAAGTAAGTGAAAAAACCAACGCCAGAGTTGCATGGTTCAGTTTAATGTCCCTTGGCGTCTGTATTGTGGTTTCAGTTTTGCAGTTGTGGCACTTGAGGCGATATTTCGAGAGGAAGAAGCTTATCTAGATCCTGAGTTTCGTCTTGTACGGCTAACAAATGTTCTAAAGTGAACACGAACTGAAGGGTTCCTCTGCCTTCTGCATAGATTTTTACGTTGAATGTTAGGAAGAATATTAGGATTCTTCTTCTCAACAAATCTGGTTTTGGGTAGGATGGGCTACAATAGATATCATATCCCATGCTAGTTTTGGAATGCACAGCAAATTACGTGGATAGGATGATAAAATTATCAACACTCACCGCAGAAAGCATCAGTGCATCAGAATCTGTAAAATTGTTTATCACACACGACAAAGCTATATTTTCTTCCTGATTTTGCAATTGTAAGCTCAACATATTCCCAAACAGCTCCCTCATTCCCAGATAGGAATTGTTGGCTGTGGAATATGAATGTTCTGCTTTCTTTCTTTCATATGCTAAACGTTTTATTAAATGTAAATCCTTCTACGGACTCTCACTTCGCGATCTGTTGTACAAACATTCTAACTAAGAACAGTGCACAACTGCATAAAAGTGTGGAGTGTCCATTAGCTGCAACAATTCACTTCAGGGCTGTCCTTTTCTTCCGGGTTTTCTATGTCTTCCAGAAGTGGTTTCTGGTCGAAAAAATTGATATATTCTAATCCCGCGGATAACGTCGCATTTACGGAACCTACTGAGATTGCTATTATGCTGTACTGTTCCTAATCGCTTTTCATTTAAAGGTTCGCATCTTGCAACTATGTCTAGTTACAGTGAGCTAAATGGACAAAAGCGAAATATTACTGAATATAACTAGCTTTGCCAGTCAAGTTTTCAGATGATGTGGAGGGATACACATGCCTGACCATTAGTCTCTTGGGCAGAACATAAATGTCTTACCATGTCAACACCAGCCATTCGGAATCACAGACAAGTATTTACTCGGAGACATGTGAAATTGCCATAGGGCTTGGTCCTATGAGTTCCCTAGATCACCCAAGGCAGGTCAACATGACCTATTGACTATTTATCTGGTGCACCAAACATGAACATCAAAAGGATGTGTTCCATTTTTTCCCCTCAAAATCTAAGCGCACCATAAGTAAGAACTAAGGCCATATGAAAAGTTAGTGCAATAACTATTGTTTAAGTGGCCTTAGAATTGTCTTTCTAGTCTTTTTCTATTTTCTCGACCAATAAAATGGGAACCCGAATTTTAAACTCTGGGTTGCTTTCATTGTAGTTTCGGTTTTCCAAGTTTCATAAGGCCGAGTTTATAGTTTTTAATTTCTCAGCCTAGTGAATCCCCACAAGATAACTTCCATGTGATTAACCTGATCGGATCCAGCACATCCCGTGGTTAAATCACAGCGTCAACCACTCGTATTAACCTTGAGGGACATGCTCAGCACTCGGCAGGTGGAGCATTACTCAATGCACGTGAACAGGACTGTTTATGTGGATATAATGAGATTTGTCAAGCCGCAGAGTTCGGATATCCCATATTACAGTGAAAAAAAAAAAAGATGAGCTGGTCAAGTGACCTCACTACCCGCTTGTGATCTTATTTCAAGAGATCTTGATAGAATATTCTTGACATGCCCCTATGCACTATCCTTCTCAATTCTATCTCCCAAGAACATACATGTCAGATGCAAAGAGAATACCCCAATGAAATCCCTAAAGAAAAAAGAAGAATCTCCTTATCTTTGGCCCTCTTCTAGGAAAAAGAAGAAGCTGCTTTTGACCCAATAATGCGCATTTCTTTTCGTTTCTTGTTTTCCCTTCTTCTTTTTTCGGCCGAGACAAAGGGCATCATGCACTCGAATAACAACGGTACGTCGTCTCAAGTCTCTCGCATTACCAAGAATCATTGGCGCAGTCCTTTGAAGATTTGAGCGCCATTGCCTTTACCAGAAAAGAAATAATAAGAATAGGATCTGCTTTATCGCACCGTGGAGCTAAAAGCAGATGTCGCGCAAGCATGCACTTCGCTCTGCGTGGGGCTTGCACTCCAATCTTTCGAGATAATTGTTTAAAAAGCCCTCAACCTATCACACAACAGCCAATTCAGTCATAAACATTTCGATTGTGCTAATATAGTCCTAAACCTTTTGACGATTTGCCAATTTAGTCCTAAATATTTTGAAAATTTATCAATGTAGTCATACACCTATTATTTGGATGTTTGGCTAGAATGACCACATTGACAAATCGTCAAAATGTTTAGGGCTAAATTGACAAATTATCAAAAGGTTTAGGACTAAATTGGCATAATTGAAAGATTAATGACTAAATTAGCAAATAGTCAAATGATTTAGGACTAAACTAGCGCAATTGAAAGATTCGTGATTGAATTGGCCTCCATACAATAGGCTTATAACTTTTTAGACAATTTTCCTCCATCTGTCTTGGTTTCGATGTTAGAAGACGAACAAATATTGCAGTAGTGGTCGTCGCTCTCCATTAGGAGAAGACAAGATTGTGTTGAACCAAAAACCCTCCTCGCCTGCTCGTAAATGGACGTAATTCCAGGAACTAGTTTGCGTTAAAAACGCTGTCCAAATGATTCGCAAGCAAAATCAGTAACTTCAAAGTGTTCAAGTCTAACGTACTTGTTCAGACAATCCATGCAAACCGGATTTTACGTAGCTCTCCCTTCTGTCCGATTAGACCATGAGGCCTACTTGCCCTCGCGGCGGCTTTTCTTATTACCAAACATTTCTCGTGGAAAAGAAGAATCGCGACGCCATTACCATCGCCGTCATCGCTATCTCATAAAGGAGGTAACCCTATATAAGCTGTGCTTGACATGAAAGGAAGTCATTCAGTCGAGCACGACGCTTGGCCTGTACTTCTCATTGCGGTGATAATGCTTTCTGCGGTCACATCTTACGTTAATCACCACGAATTATTTTAATGAAAGAGGAATAGAGTGGATGAATTACCGTGCCATGTTACGTTTTATCAAACAAACAAGGGCAACGTCACGCCACCTGTCGACGTCCTGCTTGCTGAATGAGAGGCAATTGAGCCATGGAACGCAGACATGGACTCCAAAACGAGACGTCACCGGGTGCATCGAGGAACAACTATTCAAGTGCTGTCAAGCCCGTGCCGTATTATTGAAGTATTGTACCACATCTTTTGATAGTGGGTCGTAAATACTAATAATATTTAGATAGTCCCCCTTCACCCGTCATATTAAGAATTTGAATTGGACATTCTAACGTGGTATCAGGATCAGTGTTACCCAATTCACGAACGAGAGGAGCGGTGAGGTATTGTCCCACATCTCTTGGCAATGCATTCTAAATACTTTTTATATTCATGCGGTCTCTCTTCACTTATCCGTCGTTTCGGTTCTCGCATTAAGTAGATTTCGCGACAGACCCGCCTATCAAACAGCACATGTGAAAATTGGCAATTGGCACGCTCACATGATACTAACAAACGACCAATTCGACGAGTTCTCGGCTACCTTCGTTAAAGTTGTGTGATTTGCTTCACTCAAATTGGACGATTCATCAGGGTGTATAGACACATGGTCCATTTAGGAGGTCATGGTTTTGTGGAATTCTGCTATTTGAGACATCACCGGGTGCATCAAGGAACTACTATGCGAGTTCTGTCAAGCCTAATTCACACACTCACTGTCGGGTTAGATTGGTTCTTGGAACAGGTAGGTCCTACAGAAGGCCCACCTTATCTGACAGTGCATGTGAAAATCGGCGGGCTTGCATATACCAATGGACGACCACGAGTTCTCGTTTAGCTTCACTAAAACTGGACGACTAATCAGTAGGCATAGAGACATGATCCATTCAGGAGGTCATGGTTTTGTGGAATTCCGCTATTTGAAAACTAGGTTAAATCACCTCACGTGCACTCATTAATTGTTTGTCCAAGCTCTTTTTGTTGCATAAACTTACTTTTATAGCGAAGCTGTATGGACTTTTGAGACTAGAAACAGGGTGAGATCGCCACTCAGATCTTCCAATGTCGATAAAACTCACAAAGAAGTGCAACTCGGCCTGCATTGACCAAGATTTCATCCTCTTACTCCAATGGGCTCTAATTGACCAGTGATTAATCAATTAAGAGTAATATTTTCGTTCCGCAATCCCCCTCCGTGGCGATCTGTCATTGGCCTATCGAGGTTATCGACATTTGGTTTTATCTACGCAACAGCTAATCACAGTCCCTCACGTAATCTACTAGTCAGCACAAGCTAGTTTAGATCACGAGCAATCTTTTTCTTTCCTCGATAAATACTTTATAATTATCATGTCGTGATGAGGATACTATCATAAACTCCATGACAAAAAGGGAGATTCCCCTTCTTCAACCTCCATGCTAATGCAATAATAGAGCTCACTCAAAGGGATGAGCATTGGCCTCGAGTGCAGGAGGACATGGCAAAGCACTGGGTTCTGCAATTTTCGTACACCACAATTCTGTCGAATTCTTCCTCTTTAGATTAAAAACCATTTTCCAGAGTTAAGAAAACTACTTTTTTATAAATAAATACAAAAAGAATGAGTATTTTCTTTCCTTTCTTTTTCTTAATTATTTTATATAGTTTATGGCTACTGCTCGAGCAAATTGTAATGTTATTGCATGATTGCTTCCTTTGGATGTATTTTATTCTTAGTGTAAAGCAGAGTGGACTGATCCACCTTCTAGGGAGTATTGCGCTGTCGGAGAAACTTCCAACAAGATGATCTTTTTTATGAAAAAATAATTTGGCCCCAAAAGTAGTAAAATAAAAATATATATATCAAAACTTTTGGCGATTATGTTATTTGTATCCTAGGTTAAAAGCTTGACCTCATTTCATTTATCTCAATGTTCTTTCCTCTTCTTCCAAACGATGAAAAGTTTCGACTTCCCTTTTCTTTTTCGCCACAAGAAAAGTTCAATCAAATTTTGTTTCCACGTGAAAGGTTGGGCTTCACTCGCTTAGCCTTACATAATTTCCAATGCTATTACTTAAGTGGCCGTTAAATTTACCGTGACGCCCGAAATCCCACGTCTGAAGGGCGAGATTTTTATACTAACGAGTAAGATCCACCCTCAAATAGTCATCTTCTTGTGTGGTTATTTTGAACGGATTTGGCCCTCGTGATATCAATTGGTTGGTATCAGGAAAGGGCATTCTCTAGTAAGTGTGTTGTTCTTAGACAAACTAAGCCCATAGCCAATGCGATGAAGGCACGGGAATGAGGGCTCGAAAAGAATGCAAATCCTAACGGATTCTGAATTGGCAGATGGGGCAAGAATGAATAGGACCACACATCTAATAGGGCGATTATCGCCGGGCAGTACAACCAACACCAATGACGACGTCAATGGTTTAAATGGAGACACTTGAAGTCGTACATAGAATAGGCATGATCTTGTAATATCACTCACGAGTAAGATCTATCCTCAATGGCCACCACCTAGCGTGTCTACTTGGTGTACTCCTTTTGAGATTAAGCTCACAAGAAATATGTAGAATCGTTACTTACGCCAATTGCCATACACCATAACATTTACAGGAATAGTACCAAAAAAGCCATAAACCTATAATTGCATTAGTACAAATTCAGTCGTAAATCTTTCAATTAGGCAAATTTAATCCTAAGCCTTTTTCACAATGGTATCAATTTAGTCCATCCGAAAAATTTAAGTCGAAATCACTGATGTGGATGCTGGCGGTCTTATGTGACATGGTCAGCACTGACATATACATTTTTTAATAATTTTTTAAAATTTTTTCATTTTGTTATTCCTCTTCTCTTTTTGCCAGTGGCCGGTCACCGGCTACAAGCCATGGCCAGCAAGGGTCGGCCTCACCGAGCTGCACCTGGGTGAGGGCAAGCGCCAACGAGGCCCCTATCGCCCAAGCTACACCCGGCAAGATCGCTCGGGCTTGGGTGAGGGTTGACCTTGCCAGAATTGGCAAGGGGGGCTTCGCCGATGCTCACCCTCGCCCAAGCACAACCTGGCAAGGCTGACCCTCGCCTATGGTGGGCTAGGGCAACCCTCGCTAGCCACCGGCAAAGAGAAAATTGAAAAAAAAAAAAGGAAAAAAATTATATAAAAAAAATGTCTACAGCAACGACAGCCGTGCCACATCGGACAACTGGCAACCACATCAGGAATTTAGGATTACATTGCAGAAAGCTAACATGGCGCGAATAAATCTGTCCATGTCAGCATGTCACGTAAAACGGACTGCGACAACTGGACGCAACGGTAGAAATTTCAAGCGGCAATTGGCCAGAATGACTACATTGAAATTTCGCGCAAAAGGTTTAGGAATATATCAGCAAAATTAAAAAGTTTGGAACTGAATTGACATTTGTATAAAAGGTTTATGACTGATTGGATGATAATCCTGTGAATTTTGTTGGTAAATAAACCTTGACCGTTGCTCTTGGAAACTCGATCCCCCAACTCATCATTCAATTCACCCGCTAACACTTGACAGGCTTTTTGGACCTCATAAAACCATTTTTAAATATTACGAAGCGCCAAAAAGGGAGCACTCAGCATAAGGTAATCAATTGGTGATCAAAGCAAGCATTAGGAGGAGCATTTCGCAATGGTCTTCTAAGAAAATAGATAACCATGCACGAATTGTTTGCATTGCCTCTTTTTTTCCCCTCTATAAGGAGGCACTCCAATTGCCTCTCCATTCGCACACAAAAACGAGAGAGCGAGAAAGATGGGCGGCGCGAGCATGAGCTTGTGTTGTGGGGCGTTTAATAAGGTGAAGCCGTACTTGCTAATGGTGGGGCTGCAATTCGGCTCGGCCGGGATGTACGTGATAAGCGCGCAGACCCTAAAGAACGGCATGAGCCGATACGTCCTCATCGTGTACCGCAACGCCATCGCTGCTTTGGTGCTCGCTCCCTTTGCTCTCATCCTCGAAAGGTCCCTTCTCTCTCCTAAGTATTGTCTAGACTGTTTGGCCGAACGAACTCAATCACATGTCAAGAAATTACGACGTAGTTTCATTTTACTCTATTGTACTTTAGGAAGACAGATGATCAGGACTTGAGCTAGTGGAACGGTTATGAATCCATGCCATGCTTTTACTTTTGAAAGATTCTCGCCTTTCAAATGGACTGAGCCGATGGTGGGATGCAATAGGATGTTGACAATGACAATCTCGTTTGTCTGTGACAGGAAGATCAGACCGAAGATGACACTCTCGATTTTCTTGCAGATTGTGGTGTTGGGATTTCTCGAGTAAGTTTCGTAAAAACCTTGTGCTTCGGCGAAACTAAATAGACCAATTTCATCGATCGCCTAAGGACTTTAATATGGTATAGGTAAAATACATATCAAAGTTAGGTCACTTACACGTGCCAAAGGCCTGAACTTAACCGGTTCGTGTGATTTGCAGAGTGTTCCATGGGCCTCTTATAGTCGAACAACTCCACTCAGGCTTCTAGGTTATAAAAGATAATACGAACTAAAGTTAGCTGATTATGCAACTGTGCACATTGCAGGCCGATCCTTGATCAGAACTTTGCGTATCTGGGGATAACGTACACATCGGCGTCGTTCGCGTCGGCGATTATGAACGCGGTTCCATCGGTTACCTTTGTCATGGCCGTTATGCTCCGGTGAGATGATTTTTTGGTGTTCAATCTCAAATCACCTAATTAAGCTCTTTCACCAACGGACACACATATAATAACTAACTAAACGACCGTAATAAAGACGACTATATTGGTACATAGAAGAATCATCTAAGCAAATTATGAAAGGACGTGATCATGAGAAATACTAAGAATTGGCAACATCTTGTGGTGATTAATTAGATTAGAGCGAGTCAAAATCAAGGAGGCGCGTGGGATTGCTAAGATCGTCGGGACGATCGTGACGTTCCTCGGCGCACTGGTGATGACACTATACAAAGGCCCTTCGTTCCACCTGATTCGGTCCACCAGCACGGCCCATAGCGGAACCGGCACCGACCCGTCCGACAAGCATTGGGTCGCCGGCACGCTTTTCATCTTGATCGGCTGTTGTGCCTGGTCCGCCTTCTTCAACCTCCAAGTAAGAGTCTTCATGCTCTTCTCAGAGCACGAATCGAATCGCCCTTAAAATGACATAAGTCGAGAGACTTAAGATCGTTCTTTCTTCTTCTTCCTCTATCGATTTCGCAGTCTATCACGGTGAAGAAGTACCCAGCAGAGCTGTCGCTGTCGTCGTTGATATGCTTGATGGGGGCGATGCAGAGCGCGGCGGTGGCACTCGTGGCGGAGCATCACCCGGCTGCGTGGAGAGTCGGGTGGGACTCTCGTCTCCTTGCTCCCGTTTACACCGTAAGTCGCAAAAGTCGCAGTGCATGGAAAATCATTCATTTGAAATCAAGTTAACTTAGATCTTCGGATGTGCCAGGGCGTAGTTAGCTCTGGAATCACGTACTACGTGCAAGGCATAGTTATGAAGACGAGGGGTCCTGTGTTCGTCACGGCCTTCAACCCTCTGTGCATGATCATCGTCGCCGCCCTCGGTTCCATCATCTTGTCCGAGAAGCTCTACCTCGGAAGGTAATAATGCCCTCTCTTCTCTCTACTCTTCTTGACTTCCAACGTCTGAAATTGAAATCTGTTCTTCGGGATTTCATTTCTATGTCAATTCGACGGGCAGCATCATCGGAGGAATCGTCATCGCGATCGGTCTCTACTCAGTGGTGTGGGGCAAGGCCAAAGACTACTCGACGACGCCATCGCAAGAATGTGTCGACCCGAAAGTCGAAACCCAGAAGCTGCCAGTCACTGTGGCGAATGGGGTTGCTGCTGTTGATCAGGATGGTATCAGAAAATGACCTGATGTTCACCAGTGCTTGGATGTATATAAAGTTCCAATTGCTCTGATGTTTCGATGTAAGGCACTGTGGGAATTGTTGCTGTATGATCAAGTTTGCATCCACAGCATGAAATTTGGAGTTGGACCACCAACATCTTTCTTGATTTCTTAGAGCTTCAAGCTGTCCTTAAAGATGGCAAACGTTTAGATCATCAAACGAGGTTACGTTGAGACCGCATAAGCTCTATTGGTTCGATGTATCTTTATTCATGTGGTTCGAGTTATGGATATAAAAGATTGAGCCAAATATTTTGGACTAACGTGCACGAAAGATCACATGGAATGTGGACTCCCTCATTTGACTCTTTGGTATCGAAAAAATAGAACCATTTGTTTACGTCATACTAATCATCTAGGCTCCGTTTGTTTCCGTCAAAATATTTTTTGAGAAAAAGCTTTTCGACTTTTTCCAATATTTGGTGCTTAAAAAGTAGACCGGGCAAAGAAAATATTTTAGATCGACCGAAAAGACTCCTTAAAGAAAAAAGAAAATGACTTTCCATTTTCAAAAAAAAGAAAACCATTTTGCCCCGCTCTCCATTCTCGCACGCAACCCTAAAATATGTGAAGACTACTCTTCACAATTGTTGCTTATTTCTCGTCGGAGATCGGCGAGGTCGACCACGTTTTTACCGTCTCTCTACGTCAGCATGCCACACCATCATCTATCATAGGCAGGGTCAAAGTAATTGTTGAAATGAAAAAAGAAGTCGAGGTACTTTTCTTTGTTTTTATAATAAAATGTGAGAAGATAAAAAAGAAATTGCCGAACATCACGAAATCCGACACTTTAATTGACTCGGCGATACCAAACTTCACGTGATGGAGACCGAGTATAAGTAGTAGAGACGAATGGTAAAGTTAAGAATGTAAGAAAGAACCGTTCGAACCAAGCCCGATTGATGAACACAAGCCGAGTTGGAATGATGGGCTCGGATTCCTTGGCCACATCAATGTCTTAAAAGTGACATATCATACCATGGAACATCGGATCGTTTGTCCACGAAGTTTTCCTCCGAGGCTAACACAAAGATGAGGCAATGATTGGCCACATTACTCTCTGTCCTTTCCAATAGAAATACCCCCCCGTTCCCTTCGGTTTCTGTAATAGAGAGAGATACAGAGAGATGGTGATGTGGGTGTTCGGGTACGGCTCTCTCATATGGAAAGCTGGGTTCCCCTACGACGATCGCCTCGTGGGTTTCATCAAAGACCATCGTCGCGTGTTCGATCAGGGTCTCTCTCTCTCTCTCTCTCTCTCTCTCTCTCTCTCTAACCCCCTTCATTGCTCTGTATTTGAATTACATGTCAATACAATGACCAATGCAAAAAGCCTGCACTTGACATTGAAATGATTCGTGAATGCTTTGGTGGGGTTCTTGTTTTCTCTTCAGGGAGTACTGATCATAGAGGGACGCCGGAGTTCCCAGGAAGGACTGTCACTTTGGAGTCTGCAGCCGGAGAAGTCTGTGTAAGTCCCTTCCACATTTTTAGCAAAGTAAAAGTGCAAAATTTGAATTCAAGTTGTTTGCTTTACCGTATTTGTGCACATTATACGAGGTTCTGTATAGACCATATTTCATAACATGTCACGGCTTCGAATCAGACTTTGTAATTGGATCTGAATTCGCATTTCTAGTCGATTTTAATAGAAAATGGGGCCATCGACATGTTTTATGTGGGCAAAGCTTCTATAGCTGACTATAAACTATGCAGAATGGATATTCCGCCTGATATAAAAGTGAATGCTTTTTCGAAAGTGAATTAGAAATGTGATTTTCATCTAAATGCGAACAAGATGTGCGGTGGTTACGACTTTTGAAAATCAGGGTCATGTGAGGATGTATGCCAATAGGTGATTTGCGTTATCTTGAATGACCTGCTGTTGAATTAACCATACAGTGCTTTTGGCTCTCCCTATCACGTGAAACTATGTATGGAGTTCTTATTTTGTAGTTGAGCTTACTCACTAAGATCCACTAAGTTATGTATGCTTCATTCAAGGTCATAGTGGGGAGCTGCGTACAGAATTTCTGATGAGAAAGATAAAAGAACTGCCATAACGGTATGTTTATTTTGTTCGAAGTTGTATTAGATCTTGTAAAAAGCACAGTTTTTGAAACTTGCTTACATGTCACCACATGGCTGTCATTTTTCTTTCTTATGAAGATATTTGAAAGGAGCCGACTGAGATGATGTTTCATGGTTTTCTCATCTGTCCTGTCCTATGATTAGAGTATTTGTAGCTGGAGTTACCATGTAATTTTCTGTGTCAAATCTTTGGAGTTATGCTTAATTTATGTTTGTGCTCTTGTTGAATCTTGGAAGGTAACCTGCTTTAGGAGAATGGCTGGCTGTAGCAATCTCTTTCGTTAGAGGCAATAAGTATACATTTTCAGTGAGTTCTAGTGTGGAAAGTAGAAATAAAATCCATTGTAGATAGTTTGTCCTCTATGTTGCCTGAGTCGAACCATGATAAAGTTGGTCAGTCCTCGAGAGGAAATTTTCTAATGTAGTAGTGACAGCCCGAAGCATGGACTCTGTGGATATTAACACTGGTAAAAAGGTAGTAAATTCAGGCCGACAAGCTTGTTAAGACTATTCAAACACTTAAATCAGGTTCTAAAAGTGACCTATTAGCCTTCTTGCTGGATATTTAGTACAGTGTGGTTCTACACGAGATGCGTGTGTCGGTAATTGGAAAATGAGTCAGGTCTTACTAAATTGTTTTGGCATCCTTTTGAAATTTGCCACCAGAAATGCCAATGAAATTGTAAGTTTTGAAATGCAGCAATCATCTTTTCTGATATTTATTCTTCTCCGTGGATCTGTGACAAAAAGGGCAGCATTCAAATTTAATGGAACAAAACCGAGAACTGCCGTATTACTTTAGTAGATTTTAAAGTACGGAGCTGAAGAATCGTCTGAGTGTAGTATGTGACTGCTAGGCCACAGATTGATGTACCCTTCACTTTGTCTGCTAATACTCGCGCTCAAATCACTCATTCAGGGTCTTTCTATTTGTTATTGTTTTCCTTTTCCATTCGTGCAAATGAGGCTACCCTGGGCTATCAATGTTTCGCATACTCATTTGGATTTAAATTTATCATATTTGTCCTTACTAATTTCTTCCTTATCAGCTGAATCTTTGCTTCGAATGATCTGGAACTCTCCTGGTATTAGAGGATGAACCAGTGACTAACCTTATGATTCCTCCGTTGGTTCACCTCACAAGATCATTTTTCTCTTGTGACACAGCATCTAGAAGTAAGGGAGAAGCAATATGATCAGAAAGCTTATGTCGACTTTTTCACCGTATGTTCTGAATTGTGTATTTTTCTCTGTTTTGCTTCTAACAAACTGAAATCGAAGACACAAATAGTTAATTTCATCAGGACTGCTGAATCTTTTTCAGGACCCAGCTGCTATAACTCCGGCTGTCTCTGGAGTAATGGTGTGAGTGGGAAAATTTAAAGAGACTCCCTTGCTTATATTGCTTTTCTCATGTAAAATGTTTAATCTGAACCCACGGAAAAGTCATATGATGTCTAAATTTGTTATCTTTTAGATACATTGGTTCTCCAGATAAGAAGATCAACCCGAATTATTTGGGCCCTGCACCTCTTGAAGACATTGCTAGGTACGCATCCCTCTTATTCTCAGTCTGAGTATGGGAACTGTGAAGAAATTCGATGTCCATCCTAACTCGTCACTACTTATTCAGTGGATGTCTCCTTTTTCTAAATGTCTGCTATTAGAATTTAGATTAAATTTATCTGCCGACTCCTGATCTTACTGGTGTTCATGCTGGAACTCAGCTTTTGAAGTTTTAACTCGCGTTTGATCTTAGGATGAGAACCAAATATCTGACAAATCGCTTTGGATTGCAGACAGATAGTGCTTGCTGAAGGACCCTCAGGACCAAACAGGGATTATCTTTTCCAATTAGAGAAGGCTCTTCTTCAAATAGGTGAAGCTTCTGAGGGACAGCTCGGATTATTGATGTCTGCGCCCGTATTTACTTCAAATTTGTGTCTTTTGTCTCTTTGAAGGGTGTGAAGATAAGCATGTAAAGGATCTGGCAGATGAAGTGAGACGTCTCCTATCAGAGAGGAAACTGAAAGGTGAAGAAGTATGAAGCATTAGTTAATCTTCGAAACCACAAGACAAGAAGCCTTGAACTCATTTATAATGCCAGAGTTCTTAAGTTGGTCACGCAGTCTACATACTTTCATCAGCCATTGATCAGGCTTGATTGTGTTGATTTCATCTATTCGTTTACTACGTTGACATTATAAAACTTCAATCATTTGTCTTCTGAGTTCTTGCCTGGTCCAAGCATCATCGCAAGTTTCGCAGCGAGAAGCAACCGAGAAGAGCTTATGGGCAACTATGCTATATTTGTGGGTGTGTAATTGTCACTAATAGGAGAACCATAAAAAGAATTGACATTAACAACTCTCTAACATGCGAACCGCTTGGATCAGATACACAGTGCAAGCCCAAAAAGCGCCACGGCATGGTGAGAGCCAGCTTAGGATTCATATAGCTATGGCATTAACAGCTCTCTTTTACAATGTACGTCTACCCACATTGAGGTCATGTGTCTTGGACTCACGATGCGATGCACAGAAATGACCTCGAAGGATCGAACTCACAAAGATCTCATGACCAACTCTACCACCATCGGGTTCTTTTCATAAGTAGGCGACTCAATTGCACACTTGATTTCGCATATAGACCATCCTTGCGGCAATATCTCCGCTCGTAGCTGCTAAATTTGCACTTCAAAGCGGTTCGAGCATAACGTCCTGTTCGTAGACAAATAAAACTATCGATAAAAGGTGCGAGACACAATCACGGAATTTGCATATAGAACTCTCCCCGGAAAAACAATGGACACTCCTAAAAATACATCATTAATAACGCTATAATTCTAGTACACATAACTCTACTGGCTGACTGGTTAATACCCATCTTCTCCAAACATATTTTATGAGTCCTACATGAAATTCCTTAGCAGCAACAATAACGTTAAGTCCCCCAATCAGGGGCACATCTGCAGACTAACAATTCCATACTAAACTGAAACTCAACCGCAGTATTCATCTGTACACATTCATGGTTGATGCTTCGATTACGTTGTCCTGCTTGTCAGGTGGTGCAAAAATCTAGTCACTCTCCTCCTGATCTGGAAAAGAAAAAATAGAGGAAGCTTATTAATGAGAGATGGAGAATAGCTCAGATGCACTGGGTAACGACAAAGGGCCAGAGAAAAGAGATTTTATCATTCAGAGATATTATCATTCAATTTTTAAAGACATCCACGAGACCGTTCTCCATACATTGAGAGAGATTGTCACTCGATTTGACTGCAACAACTACTAGAACTCTTTTGAGGAATCAAAACCCAATAAAGAAGTCCATGATAAGTCATAGGAAGGACAAAGAAAAGGACAGCCCATCAGCTTGAGATCTGAGTCATGATTCAATGACAGACTTTATAAATCTGCACTTAACTCGACATTATTCAACACTCGCTAAAGTGCACAAATGCGAACACAGAGAGATGGTGCCGTGGATTGGATGAAGCAAAAAATATTCTCATAACTCTACAGGACTGACATTTAGCATCTCCAAATAAAGAACATACCAAAAAGAAGAATCGTGGGGAACACTTACCTTCACTGAGATCCTCACTTTGGCTCTCATCATTGCCATCATCATCCTCATCTTCATCTTCCTCATCATCGTCACGACCAACGTCTGCGTCAGAATCTCCTGCTTCTTCCCCATTACCTTGCGCTGGTATTTCTGGTTTTGGAGGAGCTACATATCTAGAAGTCGTCCTCCTACGTGAACTTGACACTATATTGCTCGTGTCAATGCCTTCAAGTTCTTTTGCTCTTTCCTTTCTCTTCTTCACTTCCTTGATCTCTGAACATAGAGAAAAATGACTAGTACACTTGAAAATACAGCCAGGTACATGTAAAAGCTGTCGCTTCTCAATCATCTGTTGATTATGCTATTGAACATGGACTCCACGTAGCTGATGTACTCTTTACTAATAATAGCAAAGATGGAAACAATCAAAAAGGTGTGGTACCAAAGAGATTATAGTCTTAAGGCATCTTGAATTATCTAGAAAAATATATGGATCTCAACTCTTAATCTCTTAAAGTTAGCACTCAATAACATATAACAAAAAGAAAAAAGGAAAGAGGTAGAAAGGGGTGAAATCTCTCTCATTGATTAGCTTGTCAAGCCACGGCCTTAAACAATGGCATGAGATTCCTGTATCTCCTGCCAAAGCAAACGATGCTGTCTACCAAATTTTCTATCAAAACAATTGAGGTGGTATTAGAGATAACAAGTTGCCATTTTCTCCTTCCAGGAAATATCAGATCAGCAGTCATCGGCCCCAAACCTGACTTCCAAGTATCCACCAGAATATGGTAACTGTTCATGCCTCCATTTTAGAGTTACCTATTGATCATATCTACTTAACAAATCCAGTTGCAAGAATTTCGAGCGAAGGACCATATGTCTCACCCTTATCAGTAGGATCAGTTGACAATCCTTCTCTTGAGAGTATCTCTTCGAGCTCCTTCATTAGAAAAGCCTCGCGTTTATCCTCAGAGACTTGCTTGACTTTTTTATAAATTGACGGTGGGACACTGCAAAGAATTGTATTTCTTACCACAACTGCTTTCATAAATGAAGAAGCCCTTTAACTTTCTAACAAGTCGTTACCTCATCCCACAGGACTTGATAATTGATTTAAGACGATCCACGCCTTTTCCATATGTCGGGGTCAAGACTTCTTTCTTCTGCAAACACAACAAGATGAGTTGAGCAAAATATCTAAGGCAATCCTTTTTAAAAGAAGAGAAGAAACATCACCTTTGTGCGTCGCTCTGCAGATGAATGCGATTCACCATCCTCAGAATCGTGTCCACGGTCTTCTGAGTCACCATTGCTATCTGATGCAGCTTCTTCTGGCTTTATTCGCTTAGACACCTTATTCTCCTTTGCTGGGGGCGCTTTACGTTTTTTCAGCCCTTCTGCTTTCTGCATCCTTCCTCTGTTAACTGTTTTCTTTCTAGGTTTTACTTCATCCTCCTCTGCATCTTCTTCCTCCTCACTGTCTGAAGAGTCGGAACTTCCTTCAGGGCTGACTCTTTTAGGGGTTTTCTTCTTTAGACTCTCCTTAGCACCTTTCTTCTTAACTGTGTTCGCAGATTTAGAAACTTCGGGAGAATGCAGTACCTAAGGAATAATCAGAAACGGTGGTAATATATATCAGGTCCTTCATGCTCAAAAGTTAAATTACTCCTAAAGTAACTTCATAATGAGAACAACATAATGTTGTAATCAGTTTTGCTCACCTCTTCTAGGTGCTCACTTATAAACTTCTTGTGGGGATCCAATGCATGCTTTTTAAGTTCAAGATCTTTCTCTAGAAGACGACGGACTCCAGCCATTGTAACTTTCCTGCAGAAATTATGTAAATGCCCTTTAGACATGACGAGAAAAGCCACCACGACATCCCACATCATTAAGCAGAACGCACATAAGCACTTATACAGGAAGCTAAGAACAGGAGATATAAATAGTCATACTCAGAATTTGCTCGAAAATACGCAGCTCTCTTCTTAATGGCTTTATTTATCGTGCTCTCAGTTATATTGGCTTTACTTCCATTGCCTTGAGTTTTCTCAGCCGCTGAATGAAGAGCTTTTTTGGCAGTCAAGAGACCCATAACTGGCGAGTCTTCCATTTTCTCTTCACTTCCAGAGTTAGATTTCTTAACTTCATTCTTTGACTGAGGACCCTCAGACAATTCCTCCATCTCTCCTTTAATAGAAGACACATTATTTTGCAGAGACTCCCCAGAACTCTTAGAGGCATTATCATCACCTCCTTCCAGGCACTGATATGAATCACGGAAAAAAAGGTATTTGAACAGATTAGAAACCCATAAATAGAAGTGTGCTATAACCAACAAATAATAATCAAAAGAAAAGCAGTCGAAAGATTCCTGAAGAAAAGTACTTGCACTAATATCTGATAACCATCATTAGCAAATCACAGGTTTGTCAAAGCAGAACCCTTACTCTTCAGCAACCAAAACGAGAGAAGGCACAATTCTCAATCATTAAAACCAGGAATTCTTTTCTGAATATAGTCCAGTTCGTCCAACTTCCTTGGATGGCTACATTAACTACAGAAAGAGCATTACTTTTATTTTTCAAAAAAATAAAAGCCCAAGCAACTTGACCTCCTCATGCCATCCCAGTGATCCTGATTAAAATACTTAATCAACTGAGATCTTTTCAATGGCAGGAACTTAACATGTATGTCATAATCCAGAAGGATACAATCTACTAATCAATAACATCCCAGCAGTCCTGATTTAAAATCTAACTGCTTTGATACGGTTCTAAGAGAATATGTACCTACTATCACTTTTCTTACGCTAATCAACAATCAGCAACAGTTTCCACAAAATTCCATTCAATCTTCACTTTCGGGATTTAAGAAAGAAAAACCGCTGGTGATAATGGCCCAATAGTACGGGCTAATATTCTACAAACACAAGTTTTTGAAGTCGAACCTACTTAGAGTAGTAGCGCAGGCATGTGTACATCGGATCTAGATCTCTAGCAATTCAAGAGTTTACATTGACGGGGCTAGCCTACGTGGGACAAAGGGGTTGCCATTGTAAGTGAGTGACAATCTCACCAAAGTCTTACATTTGATGGTTTCATAGTGAGTTCATTCTATCGTGAATGTGGGACCCTCATGATGATGCCTAGAGAGAGTAGCAAAGCTAGTTGCCCCTTTCCGCCCTTATCTTCCAACAAATAAAATATCAAACATCAAGGGAATAGCTGTCTACAATAAAAATAACTATTTTATGTTTGATTAACTAGAATTGCAGATGGAATTATCCCAATAAAAAATCAAAACAGCCAATATACCCTTGTGCCAGTTGCAATCCATCTGACGATAAAACATACTCCCCTTGGCATTCTATAACACCGTATTATCTTTTTACACGGTTCTAACCTAAACAACGTTGTTGTGATGCATTTTACATAGTTCTTAATTAGGAGCAAGCTGGACAATAAAAGAAAATAAGGGAGCAAGCAAAGAATTCCCATTTTACCTTACTTAAGGTTTTTATTTGTGATCCAATTAGGGTAAAGACTAAAGGTGCTTTGAGCAGGAACTAAATGAAGTAATCTTTCTTTTTAGCATCCCTTTCAAGAAGACCCTCAATAAAAGATCGGGGCTTTATATGGGTCCGATCTAT